GCTGATGTTACACTAGTTTTTTTAAAGGGTTGTGCAACTTGTGATGAATGTATGGGAACAAGGAAATTTTCTTCCAAATTTTTACTTTGAATGAAAGACAGAACAGCAGGTGCATGCTTCAGTTATTTTACCTCTAGAGGCAAAAGGGGTTGTTGATTTAGGAGAATAGGTTCATACATTTATGTACAAAGTTTGCAATAATTATCCTGAGATTCTGATTGGCTTAATAAAATGTTAAAGTAGGCCAGCAATCAAGCACTATACCAAATAGAAATATATTTATTGATTATAATTTTAAAGGTAGTAATTGATGGACAATTTGTCAAGCTTGTGCTGCCAACTGATACAGAAAGAGAGAGATATAATGAGTGCATATTTTATATGTCATGTTTAGTGTATGAAATTTGACTGCTTATATTTGCTTCAGTTCAAGCAATGTCACTCAGCTTATTTTTCAATATTAGGTACATAATCGATTTACTATTACATGAATATGTATGTATTTTTAATTCTAATTTGAGAACAAAAGGGAAAAATTCTGGCAGCATTATCAGGGCATAAATACTCTTCAACAACTGCGCAGCCAAGTTTATAAAAAATTCACCTTTTTTTTCTCATCTTAATTAATTTTTTTTTAAATATACTTCATTAATTAATTTTTTTTAAAGTTTTTGTCCTTTTTTGTATTTTTTTTTTTACAGAAATGTTTTTATTTTTAGCATCCAGTTTTTTGTCAAAGATTGAGTAGCTTGGCCTTACTTTTGTGCGGTGTATGTTTCTTTCTCATTATAATTTTAGTTTATTTTAACTATTCAATAAATAATAATTTGTACTGTAGAATATTCACCATTCTGTGAATACTAGTGTACCGGTAAGCCTAAAATAAATGTTCAATTGGGTATTGAGCTGTAAAGTTGTACATTTTTATAAATTCATGCATAAAGTTACAAACGCAGTCCCATGAATTCAGTTATATTTTAACTATGCAATCGTTGTATGGTTTAAAATCACTGCATGAAAAATGTCATACTGAATTTTAGTCACAATTTCTTGCCTGTCACGATTGTGTCATTATTGATTGTTCAAATTGTCAACATGAGGTATTTAACAATGTTTTTTCTATGCTGTTCAAATCAGTTGTGCTTATCATTCATTGATCTGTTACTAAAGCCTTAGCCCTTATTGCATGGGTTCACATCTCGTTTGTCAATTCGTCATTAACTGAAAACATCAAGCCTGTGCTAAATAACTACTTTATTTTAGTGATGTCTGTTGCCAATGTTCAAATCTCATACAATACAAGTTTATTCAATATCACATTGTGACATAAATTAGGGAAGGTTATCTTCTTTTATTCACAATACATATTACTGTATTTTAATGTCACATGTGTCTAATATTGGTCAGTTTTCTTTGAGTAGCATTAAACATTTTTTCTTTTAAAAAGCGAATCTCAGTTATCTCAGAATCTTGTTTCTAAAGCAGACAATTTTGAATTTTATGTATGTTTTTGATAGAAAAAAAAAATAATAATATAATTAAATCTGTGATTGATCTATAACTAAATCTGTATTTCTTCTATAACAAAGTCTGTATTTGCTCTATAACTAAATCTGTAATGCTTGCCTGGTCTTTAATGGTCATACAAAGTAAATGGTGCATAATTTTCAAACTAAATTCTATAATCCAATTTTTTGTCACACGAAAAACAGCATTTTTCTGACGTAAATGAATAGATAAAAAAGTTTTCAGTTTTACTAAGAATAATTTCCAGTGTTGCTGGAATAGTTTTATTTTTTGGAGTCTGACATCTGCCTTGAGGCAAATGAACAAAGAGGAGTTGATGTAAGATAAAATAAATGGTGACCGTCCATTGTATAAACTAACATAATTTATTATGCAAATGTTTAAAATTGTGTGGAGTTTTATTTTTTGGTGTCTATAATGTTGAGCCTTGTATTTGTTTCTCTATGTTAACATACTAGTATGACTGGACAGGTTCTTAGTGCTCTAAGTCCATAATGCTCATGTAACTTAATGCAGGAATCATGCATGTTTCAATCCAACACATTTGTTAAAATGCAATTCAGTGAGCTGATGAAATGTTGTTTTGAAAAGTCATTTAACAAATTTTAACATAAATGTTAATGGTAAAGTATTAAACAAAGTTGCATTTAATCAAAACATAGGTGGCTTCCAAACTGGTGGACAACTTCAAGGGTATTTACCTCCCTTGCCAATACACAAATAATTATGTGTGATGACCTTCTTATTAACAATCTTTTTATAGATATCATTAATATGCATGTTTTAAATAGTTGTTTTCTTTAGGCCGAAAAAATGCGAAGTCTGAAGAGTTATTTACAGGTTGTTAGAAAAATTTAACTTCAATGTATGTATAAAAAAGTTGGTTATATATCACATTACAATGAACACTAACTTGAACATATCTATAAATAGTTTTAGTTTCTTATTAATTACATTCAGCTGTGTTTTCAAGACAGGGTGCGACTGCTTTCTCCATAAATATATGAAATTAGTCAACATTGAGCCAATGATAATTATATTTATGATTTTGAATTGTTCTTTAAATAAATCCTATTTTTGTATTAGTAAACTATTGCTTGGATTCATCTGAGTTGAGAATGTAGAAAGTGTGTATTTGCTTTCACTATTGAGAGTTGCATTGTTTTTAATCAATTTTTTTGAAAACTTCAAATCACTCAACATGTTTTATTCACTTCTCAGAAGAAACAAGATATTCATGATTCCATTCAGTTGGAAATGTAGGAACAAACTACTAATATGTAAATTATTTTTTGAGAGACAGAGGGATATCTTAATAAAGAAAGATGGATAGTTTATAATTGAAGAAATTAAGAGACTTATGATGAATGAGAGTGATGTATTTGCTGTTGTTATTCTAAAAAATCTTTGTCAACAAGCCTTCATTGTTCATTTCTAGAATACTTAACAGAAAAATGATGATAATTATTTCCAGAATAACTATGTATTAAACATTTTATTTATATCATTTGGGGACTTGTTGATTGCTGGAAATGCTTACTGAGTTCTTGTCTTTTCAATTATGTTCACTAAAATGTCATTATCGGTACATGTGATATCTGAGCCATGTGCAGTGCATTGGCCAAGCTTGTCAAGTTGATTATCTGCCATTGTAGGCCTGACATGTAAATTAATCATGGCCAAGTATATCAATCAAGTGATCATCAGGACACTGATGTAAATGACTCATGTGGCTGGCTCTTTCTAAACTATAATTATCACAGAGAATGTTCTGGTTTTAGGCTTATGCCGTGTACCTTTAATTTTGTAAACAATGTTCAAATCCTTTTTGTAGCAACTGGATGTAGTGTGTCATAAGTGAGGAGATATTGGTCACTATGAAGGATTTGTGAAATGTTTTTTGATTGATGTGTTCCTCAGATTTTGTAGGATGGAAGAAACACATTTATGGCCATGGGAAGTTTGTGTTTTTCCTTTTTTTGGGCTATATTAAAAAATATGATTGTGGGCTGCGTCTAATGTATTGGTACACAAAAATGTGCTCGGTGCGTAAGATGGCTTTGCTCATTACAAGAGAACATTGTGCTGAGTGTTAATTTACTTGACATCTGAATATTTTGAAATGCATCATTATTCAGTAATCATTCCTAGACGGAGGGAGGGGGGGCAACCTTTTTCCAAAATAATCACAGTTGTGGCGAATGAAAAGTAAAATTCGCCACACTATACATAAATCATCAAACACTACTATTAAATCAAACTAACTAAAAGTTATAAGACTGCGATAAAGCTCTCAATTAGATTAATTAGACAGACAATTTGTGTAAACAAAACAAGATAAGTTCAGCTCTAATAATGATCATACGGAATACAAATGTAAAAGTTTCATCGGTACCGAGACTGTATAAAATAAAATTCATATAAAAGAGTAAATACAGCAGAGGACCTGCCTTTTGTAGTAAAAATTGTTCATGTGCCATGAAAGAGGTTCCCAAACTAGTTGAGCCATGTAACCTTTGAAGCATTCAGTTTTCCGCAAGGTTCCCTGTGTCAAATTCTTAAAGTGCAGTTAGATGACAAATTTTAAAAAAAATTCATTCAATATGAACACTAAGTACTATTCAATATGAAAACAAAGATCCATTCTAAATGAACACAAAGTACCATTCAATAGGAACACAAAGTACCATTCAATAGGAACACAAAGTACCATCCTATATGTACACTATAAGAAACTACTAAAACACAATTATTATAGTAACAGAGCAGCATCTAGTAAGCATTTTGTAAAGGACTCTGCACAGTTATTACTAAGTGAGTTAATGCTTCTCACAAAAATGTTTTTAACTCTTAATGGCACCCTTGTGAGGAAACTCCCCAAGAGCACAGTTTGGGAACCTCTGGCCATGTGCTGTTTATAAATCTTTTGTAGGATCTCCCTCTTGAGCGCGTCTGCTATTTTTTTTTCTTTCTATATCTCTTTAGTGAGAACACAATGCTCTTGGTCTTTTAAACTATATAGATAAAAAAATTCCTTCAATGAATCTATTCATCTCTTCTCTTAAGCAAACTGTACACATTTCTGAATATGAGCTCAAATGGGTTAATGACATTGCCTTTGAGATTTGAACACTATGGCATCAGGAAAAATTGACACATCTTCAATCTTAAAAAAGACTGAATAAATCATCACTTAAAAACATAGTTAAGGTTTACAATGGAATGAACACTGAGCGCTGAGGAAAGGAATTCAAAAAAACACGAAGCATGTGCAGGGCTTTTCGGATTCAAAAGCTGCGTTAGGATTCCAAGTGAAAATTGCTGTAAGACATTTTGATTCCAAGGTCATAGCACCACTGTACATAATAATAATAACACATGCACTTTACTACATAACGGTACATAAATAAACACAAGTATACAATTAATTTGAGGAAAATAATTTATAATGTATGAAAATGAATTTATTCCTGGACATGTATAAATTACAGAGTAATAATTTATCAAATTATAAATCTATAATAAAAGATAAAATATAATTATTGATATATTATTAAAAAAAAAACAGGAGGAAATAGTAATTATATTTTTATGTACAATTCAATTTCAATCTCTGCTGATGGCACCCATGTACCTTCCCAACAATTAAGGCACAAAATCTGGTGTTGAGTTGTAGGACATCTAAGTTAAACAAGAAATGAAAATGTCCCATCTGTTGTTGAGTTGTAGGACATCTAAGTTAAACAAGAAATGACCATGTCCCATCTGTTGATGAGCTGCAGGACATCTGGTCAGCAAGAAATGTCTCTCAACTCACCAGACCTGATCACATGCTATTGGCCACATGTTAATTGCTACACGCTAATGGACCCATGCTAATAGATGAATGCTAAATAGCTTTAATTATATTGAGAATGAAAAACCAAAAAAGAATTTCAATCTAAGCAATGGAAAATGTTTTTTTAAACAAATATTCACCACTGTAGTGAAAGTATTAAAGAGAAATGAAAGTTCCCTATAAATCAGTAATTCTACATCAACTAGATTATATCAGTGTCGACATCTGCATCCCATAGATTAGCACTGAAATCATTTCCCTGTGTTTGAAGACATGAATTATTAGATAGGTCATAAGTTTTCCTAACACAACTCTGTTATAGTTGGCCATACAATCGTTGAACTCAAAATTAAATATCAAACAATTGGAATTGTGACATCAATCTTCAGCTGTAAATTTATCTGCAAAGGCGATCAGTTTCGACATTCAGTCTATTTGTGATCAGCTTCAGCATTCAGTCTATTTGCTATCACTGCTAACATCTTCAGCTTTCAAAGTATCCACAGTGGCTAAAACATGTGCGTCACATAACTTTCCTCAGTCTGTCTCTATAACCTCCATAGGCATTAAGAACCTTTCTAAATGAAGTAAAGAGGACTTTTTTTGTTTTGTTTTGCAACTGTAGTTCAAGGCAACGAGCTGCCTCACTCCCAAATAACATGATTGCTAAAGTTTATTGCTATTCTCAAGCGGATGTAGCCTATTCCCTTTGAAGAAAACAAATTGATTTAAATTCTTTTGTTACCGATTTTCAATGTGTGAGGAGTTCAGCATGGCAGTACAAGCTCATGGGAAATTTACTACCAACAGATTGATGTAGAATCCTTTGAAATCGATGCGGGAAGTGATAATAATGATCCTATTGTTACAAGTAGAGATAAATCAGGTTTGGACTTTTACATTAGTACTTGTACATCTGTGGTTGGGGATGGCAGTCAATCATATATTTTATTGCAATTATTAACTTTCATTCACTTTTATCATTAAAAAGTTCACATAAATTTTGAAAAACAATCACTTTTAAGAATAATTTATTTCCTTTTCTTTAAAAAGAAAAAAACATTTACATGTCTATTGGAGTTATGCCCCTTTGCTTAGTAGTCACATGAGATTCTGTTAGACAGGTATGGGTTTTGGGCACTTTCTTTAAACATTTACTTATACTTTGAAAGAAATGTCATTTTTACATCATGAATGCTATGAATTATTATGACAAAATTTCTTGTGTAACCCCTGCAGATTCTTATAACAAGAGGAACCCCATAGTCCACAGTTAAACCAAGAATTCCAAAGTTAAACCAAGAATTCCAAAGTTAAACCAAGAATTTCACAGTTAACTCATGGATTCCATAGATAACACCAGAATTCCCTAGCTAACTCCAGAATTCCATAGTTAACCCCAGAATTCCATAGTTAATAGCATTTCAACCCATGCCCAGGTTTTGTCTGTTCTTCCTAACATTTCATTAAGGAAAATAAACATTGCATCTACACGAATGAAAATGTCTGGTCCCTGCGTAGACAAGGGCAATTACTTTGCACGCAAGTATGATGATCTCCCGCGGGGCTCCCTGACCTTATAATGTTCATTGAAATCCAGACGGAAGCAGAGAAATCGTAGACTAGCATCAGGATGGGATGCAACCATCTTCAGAAACTGTTCCACCGTGTCCTGAAAGCACATAGCTCAATTTTTATGCATGCACAGCCAAGAGACTTATAGATAAAAATGTATTCAAATTTTAGGGGAGGGGGGCATGGTATAAGAAAAACATAAGATGACTCTATTGGTCATCAGTGTGTGTGTCTTGTCTCCATCCCCACTTATTGATAGCGTGAACAGCCATGCACTGGTTGCATCACTGGTGACTTTTAAAAATTGTGTTCATCTAGGTCAGTAGGGTTTGTTGTGGAAAAGGATATCCCAGCATCACCAATCAATTTATTTTGCCTTCTCTGCAAATGTTCAACTGATAGCCTTAAGGAAAAATTTCAAATTTTGTTTTCACGAATTTAAAAAAAATAATTTTGTATCTGTATTTTGAAAGAGTACCCGGTACCTGGTAAGCAGTGGAAAGTACTTGAAGCTTGGCCCTGGTTGAAGGTATGATAGTGGACAGGAAACCTTTTCTCCTCTTTTTCTCTTCCTTCTCAATAGCTTCATTGGTCTCCCATTCACCCTTGAAGAGTTGAACAATATTTTTAAAAAAAGGTTTGGCAAACAACAGGTTTTCTAAAACATTGAACATCACACAGTAGGTGATAAAGGCCAAGTTCTCTTTTTTTTGTTTGAACAAGTAAAATAAACCAGAGGAACTGGATGTGATAATGTTTAAAATTTTAATTGGAGACCAATTGAATAATAATAAACCAATAAATCCTTTATAATTGGATAATTAACTCTGGATGATTGGATAAAAAAACAACTGGAAGATGATGGGTAGATGATATTATATTTAAAATTGCTTTTAATAATATTATATTAAAAATTGCTTAATAAGATAAGATAAGATTCTTTTATTGATCCAAACAAATGGAAATGTTTTTTGATTGCATTATACATTTTCAGCACATAAATAAAACAATTTGAACACAAGACAACTACATTAAATTATTTCACTAGTGCAAATAACAACCATTCAGTGAATTCTCTTAGCCATATCAGGGGCTGATTAGTTCTCATTAAGATTTGTGACTTCAGGGGGAGCATGCTAGTAAATTTGTATAGATTGGGGAATTTTTATATCTTTCAGTCCTCGCCCTGAGAGAAAGATTTCACCCCAAAGTGCAGATCCAAAGTATCTGTGATGAAGAGGGTGGGATGTATCATCCAAAATTTGTTTAGTTTTATAACATCTTTCTTCAAATAGTTCTTCAAGTGAAAGATGTTTAGTCTGTGTTATGTTCCTAGCTTTCTTTATTAGTCTGTTGATTCGGTATTTAATATCAGACGATGAATTCCCACACTAGCAGGTAATACTGAAATTAAGTAAACTTCCAATTTTTGCACTTTAGAATAAGTTAACGAATTGTTTGTTTACACCGATATTGTACAGTTTTTTGAGGTAGAACAGTCTTTGGTTGAATTTCTTATACAGCATTTGGCCGTGCTCATGCCATGTTAGCTTATAATTAATGGTGACACCTAAGTACTTATATTCCTCTACTTTCTCTACACTTTGATTTTTTATGTTGAGAACTGTAATCTGGTGTTTCCCCCTCCTGAAATCAACAACCATTTGAAACATTCGGCTGGAGAAAATTTTCATCGCACCAATTGATAAAGCTTGTAACTTTAAGTTGCGGTATAAGCCCTCTCCCTCGGATATTAGGCCAACAATGGTGGTGTCATCAGCAAATTTTAAGATTGGAACGGTGTCACTTGAGCTCTGAATATCATTGGTATATATTGTATACAGTACAGGGGAGAGAACGCAGCCTTGTGGCCCACCCCCCCAGCTTATTTCTCTGTAATGATATAATATTTAAAATTGCTTAATGATATAACATTGAAAATGACTTAAGAGAACGTCAAGTATTTTCAGAGGGTTAGAAGTACCTTTAATGTCCTGTCTTTCTTAGACTTCTCAAAAATTTCCCTGGTCAGCACTTCAGAAGAAACAGCTTCATAAAACACACCCTGGGCAGTCTCAAACTGAATAATTAGGTCAAACAAAGTCCTCAAAAGCTGAAGGATGTCCTGGTACGAGATTGATGGGAGAGAGAAATTAGAACATGTCTGAGAATGGCATTGACCTATAAACTAATGTATTGAGATATCTAGTCTAGAAGTAACTAAGGTAATCTAATTATTAGATCGCTAGGTTGATTAGGGTACACATAAATGGGGGATCTTCTAGTTCACATGTACTCACTCTAGATTTGTCATTAAGCAAACATCTACTTAATATTGTGTCTAGAAACACTTGGTGGGCAGCTATGATGTAATCCAGGTCCTTAGCTTCATGGACCTTGGTCAGAAGTTCATCCCAGGCACACTCTAGAACCTGTCAGCATAAGTTAGCATAATTAAAGAGCTTTATCCCAGGCACACTCAAGAAACTGTCAGCATAAATTAGCATAATTAAAGAGCTTTATCCCAGGCACACTCAAGAAACTGTCAGCATAAATTAGCATAATTAAAGAGCGTTATCCCAGGCACACTCAAGAAACTGTCAGCATAAATAAGCATAATTAAACAACTCATCCCAGACACATTCAAGAAACTGTCAGCATAAATTAGCATAATTAAACAATGTCATCCCAGGCACACTTAAGAAACTGTCAGCATAAATATGCATAATTAAACAACGTCATCCCAGGCACACTCTAGAAACTGTCACCATAAATTAGCATAATTCAAAAACGTCATCACAGGCACACTCTAGAAACTGTCAGCATAAATTAGCTTAATTAAACAATGTCATCCCAAGCACACTCTAGAAACTGTCAATGTATAATTAAGCAGATTTCTCCTCTATGCCAGTTATCTATTATTGGAAGCAGTTTTGTCATTAAATCAGCTGACTCGGATCAAAAGAGCAGTAAGGTCAAACACACTGTACAATTATGCGACATCTGTGTGTAAAGTAAGATGTACACACTAATTCTTTAACCTTTAACCTTTCTGTGGGATGTTTTGTTATTAGAAAATAAGGAGGACCTCCCCTCCCAGTCCCAATTGATTTGTGAAATTGAAGCCCTTCTGTATTACATAAGGCATCACAATATCACTATTACATAAATCATCACAATATCACTATTACATAAATCATCACAATATCAATATTACATAAATCATCACAATATCAATATTACATAAATCATCACAATATCAATATTACATAAATCATCACAATATCACTATTACATAAATCATCACAATATCAATATTACATAAATCATCACAATATCACTATTACAAAATCATCACTATATCAATATTACATAAATCATCACAATATCAATATTACATAAAGCATCACAATATCAATATTACATAAAGCATCACAATATCAATATTACATAAAGCATCACAATATCAATATTACATAAATCATCACAATATCAATATTACATAAATCATCACAATATCAATATTACATAAAGCATCACAATATCACTATTACATAAATCATCACAATATCAATATTACATAAATCATCACAATATAACTATTACATAAATCATCACAATATAACTATTACATAAAGCATCACAATATCACTATTACATAAATCATTAAATTATAACAACTACTTACTAATTCATCACAATATTACTGCTACATAGAACATCACAATATTACTATTACATGGAACATCACAATATTATTATTACATAGAACATCACAATATAACTATAAAAATTCCACCAAAGTATGACAGTGTTGTAATGTGATGTAATATTTCAACATAGCTTACTCCATGTAACTGCAAGTCACCTCATGTTGTAATGTGATGTAATATTTCAACATACCTTGCTCCATGTAACTGCAAGTCATCTCATGTTGTAATGTGATGTAATATTTCACCATAGCTTACTTCATGTAACTTTAAGTCATCTCATCACAACCAATGACAACATCTTTTGTACACATGACTGACCTCAAAATTAATGTAGTACTGCACTTGCTTGATGAAATGGACCATGTTCGTTGTGATCATGTGACACGTGTGTAGTATCAGGGACAATTCTGGAATGGACTTGAGGTGACGGGCACTGCACATCTGGTTCTTCCAAATCTGGGCCAGCACATATTCCATACGCTTGGCTCTCCACATAAAGTTAAACACTCGGAGGTATGTGATTTTACACTCTGGTGTGAATACCTATGACATTGAATGGTCAAAATATTTGAAATATATTTATGGGGTAATACATACTTGGGTCAATGAATAATCAAATTATTTGAACATATATATATGAGGTAATATGTCCCTCTCAGACTGATAGGGTGATATGTCCTTCTCAGACTGGTGGGGTGATATGTCCCTCTCAGACTGGTGGGGTGATATGTCCCTCTCAGACTGATAGGGTGATATGTCCCTCTCAGAATGATGGGGTGATATGTCCCTCTCAGGCTGATAGGGTAATATGTCCCTCTCAGACTGGTGGGGGGATATGTCCCTCTCAGAATGATAGGGTGATATGTCCCTCTCAGACTGGTGGGGTGATATGTGCCTCTCAGAATGATGGGGTCTCAGACTGATAGGGTGATATGTCCCTCTCAGAATGATGGGGTGATATGTCCCTCTCAGGCTGATAGGGTAATATGTCCCTCTCAGACTGGTGGGGTGATATGTCCCTCTCAGAATGATAGGGTGATATGTCCCTCTCAGACTGGTGGGGTGATATGTCCCTCTCAGAATGATGGGGTGATTTGTCCCTCTCTGACTGATAGGGTGATATGTCCCTCTCAGAATGATGGGGTGATATGTCCCTCTCAGACTGAAAGAGCAATATGTCCCTCTCAGACTAATTAATGGGGCAATATGTCCCTTCAATACCGGCACTTTAAGGCAGCCATGAGTAAATTTATTGATTTAGTTGCTATAGATACATTTAAATGATGAATGAGCATGGTACAGATAAGTAGTAATTAATATATTAAAACAACTAATACTGTTCTAATGGGGCCATCCACTCTGTATTCTAAACTGAAGACGTCCCAGCCCGTGTCTCCAGGGGAGACCTCCAGAAGTCGGACATCAAGCCTTCGCAGTATGTCACTGTCATCAAACTGAGCGTTGGTTGCTCGGATGGCAGTCTCCAAAATGCCATTTAGGTTGTGCATGTATAGATTTCCTGCTGGTTTGGCCAGGTCTTCTCTGGAGATACAGCAGATGTATATTCAAATATTGAACATTTCAAGTGTGGATACAGCAAACGTACATACAAATAAAGTATAGATACAGCAAAGGTACATACAAATAAAATATAGATACAGCAAAGGTACATACAAATAAAGTATAGATACAGCAGAGGTACATACAAATAAAATATAGATACAGCAAAGGTACATACAAATTAAGTATAGATACAGCAGAAGTGCATATAAATAGTGGACATAAAAAGTATAGATGCAGCAGAGGTACATATAAATAGTGGACATATAAAGTATAGATGCAGCAGAGGTACATATAAATAGTGGACATATAAAGTATAGATGCAGCAGAGGTACATATAAATAGTGGACATATAAAGTATAGATGCAGCAGAGGTACATATAAATAGTGGACATATAAAGTGTAGATACATCAGACGTGCATACAAATATTCAACAAATAAAGAGTACACAATTTAAGTTACACTATCTTATTTAGATGTTCCAACAGGGCCACACACTGTGAAGACATCCCATGGGGATACATAAAATAGTGGTGCCCTGTCTAGCACTGAAGGAGTACATAAAACAGTGGTGCCCTGTCTAGCACTGAAGGAGTACATAAAATAGTGGTGCCCTGTCTAGCACTGAAGGAGTACATAAAATAGTGGTGCCCTGCCTAGCACTGAAGGAGTACATAAAAGAGTGGTGCCCTGCCTAGCACTGAAGGAGAACATAGCAGTGGTGCCCTGCCTAGCACTGAAGGAGTACATAAAACAGTGGTGCCCTGTCTAGCACTAAAGGAGTACATAAAATAGTGGTGCCCTGTCTAGCACTGAAGGAGTACATAAAATAGTGGTGCCCTGCCTAGCACTGAAGGAGTACATAAAATAGTGGTGCCCTGTCTAGAACTGAAGGAGTACATAAAAGAGTGGTGCCCTGCCTAGCACTGAAGGAGAACATAGCAGTGGTGCCCTGCCTAGCACTGAAGGAGTACATAAAATAGTGGTGCCCTGTCTAGAACTGAAGGAGTACTAAAACAGTGGTGCCCTGTCTAGAACTGAAGGAGTACATAAAATAGTGGTGCCCTGCCTAGCACTGAAGGAGTACATAAAATAATGGTGCCCTGCCTAGCACTGAAGGAGTACATAATATAGTGGTGCCCTGCCTAGCACTGAAGGAGTACAAAAAATAGTCGTGCCCTGCCTCACACAGAAAGAGTACACAAATCTAGCACTGAAGGAGTACATAAAATAGTGGTGCCCTGCCTAGCACTGAAGGAGTACATAAAATAGTGATGCCCTGCCTAGCACTGAAGGAGTAAATAACAGTGGTGTCCTGCCAAGCACTGAAGGAGTACATAACAGTGGTGCCCTGCCTAGCACTGAAGGAGTACATAACAGTGGTGCCCAGCCTAGCACTGAAGGAGAACATAGCAATGGTGTCCTGCCAAGCACTGAAGGAGTACATAGAAGTGGTGCCCTGCCTAGAACTGAAGGAGTACATAACAGTGGTGCCCTGCTTAGTACTGAAGGAGTACACAACAGTGGTGCCCTGCCTAGCACTGAAGGAGAACATAGCAGTGGTGTCCTGCCTAGCACTGAAGGAGTACATAACAGTGGTGCCCAGCCTAGCACTGAAGGAGAACATAAGAGTGGTGTCCTGCCTAACGCTGAAGGAGTTCATAACGATGGTGCCCTACCTAACAAACAACTTGTACAAACAAACAAAACAAATAACAAACACAGGATCTAGACAGAAATCTACTTGACTAAGTAAGTTAGAGAGATGTTTGTAGTACACAGAAATGTTTTGTAGTAAACAGAAAGATGTTTGTAGTAAACAGAAAGATGTTTGTAGTAGACAGAGATGTTTGTAGCAGAAAGAGATGTTTGAAGTATGTTAATGAGATGTTTGTAGTAAACGGTTAGAAAGATATTTGTAGTAAACGGTTAGAAAGATGTTTGTAGTAGGCTTTTACACCACAACAACAAGATGACCACCAACATCAGTTGTAACTTACTCCAGCAGATCCATGAGGTGGCGTATGAAATCTCCCTGCCCAAGCAGCAAATATCTCCTCATTGCCTAACAAGCAAATAACAAAAGTACATTTCCTCAAATATCTCATGTCCCAAACAAACAACACAAGTACAACATTTCATCAAATATCTCATGTCCCAAACAAACAACACAAGTACAACATTTCATCAAATATCCCATTTTCCAAACAAGCAACACAAGTACAACAATTCATCAAATATCTCATGTCCCAAACAAACAACACAAGTACAACATTTCATCAAATATCTCATGTCCCAAACAAACAACACAAGTACAACATTTCATTAAATATCTCATGTCCCAAACAAACAACACAAGTACAACATTTCATCAAATATCTCATGTCCCAAACAAACAACACAAGTACAACATTTTATCAAATATCTCATTTCCCAAACAAACAACACAAGTACAACATTTCATCAAATATCTCATGTCCCAAACAAACAACACAAGTACAACATTTCATCAAATATCTCATGTCCCAAACAAACAACACAAGTACAACATTTCATCAAATATCTCATGTCCCAAACAAACAACACAAGTACAACATTTCATCAAATATCTCATGTCCCAAACAAACAACACAAGTACAACATTTCATCAAATATCTCATGTCCCAAACAAACAACACAAGTACAACTTGTGCCCATTCTTATTCTTTTTTAGTCTTTCATTTTTAGGTATACATAGTATATATATATATATATATAATGTATATTTAATTTATGCTGAATGTTTTCGATGTACAAAACGTTCGTGCCACATTAATGAGACTGACAATCTGTTTATGTTCTCTAGCTGTCTTTCTGTCAACATACAAACCTTGAGGTGTTCCAAAAACTTGTACTTGACCTGAAGGACCTCCAGCAGGTGCTGTGATGTCAGCTCATAGACCTTGTCCAACATTTGTTGAAAGTCAGAGTTTTGATCCTGAGAAAACATGCTTGCAGCTGTCAGGGATAGAATGGAGAGTTAATGGGAGGTTACTAGGAAATATGATCAACATTTTATATGCATGGGACGCCACAAGGGTGGGGACTCATTGACATTTTTTTTTATACAAACATCGCCAAATGGCATCCTTATAACATAGCAACAAGAAAAATTCATGAATAATCTCCCTTTAGCTGCGAACACCTCATAGCATGGTTACTTCATTCATAAATAGGTCGATCGCAACTTTTAAATGTAAATAACTTGTTTGAAGTCTGATTTCTGTCAAATTTTGATTGTTTGTACACTAATCAATAGCAAATTTATTGAAAATGAATGACTTTGTTGTAATCAGACATAATTCCCCAGCTAATTATGCTGTAGTAATACAGCTTCCTGTAATCAAATTAATGAAATCAATAACATCTGACTTGACAAAATTAGAGTTTACAGTGAATATAACTTTACTTTTCCCCATAGTGGGGGATAAGTCATGTGGATAGATGGGATTTATTACTCTGTGGGACTGTGGATATAAACTGTTAAAATGTAGAATTAATGGGGGCAAAATGTGGCCAGATAAATTCTGATTTATGTGGCCAGATAAAGGTTTGATTTTTTTTTCTACATTTATTTGAATCAGTCTTCAAAACAAGGCAAACCCCAACTTGTTAACAAGAAAATTTAAAATCTATTTTTATCCAGCACTGAACAAATTAATAGGCTACTGACAGTATCAAGAGGCTGTGCTGTCATAGCTTACAGCACCTGCATATAATTAAGTGTGCACGACAGATTGATCATTTAATGACCTTGAGTAAGATCCAAGTTCATGGCCACCTCCCTGCCCTTCGTTGGTGTTCTATCTTCACAGACTTGGCGAAGAAAGTTGATGGACTTGCCAGTAAGAAGAATCTGAAATCAGTAGACAGGCATATGTACAACATTTTTCTGGCTTTGTACAACATTTTGATGGCCCTTAGGCATAGATATATCCATGAAATGATTCGTGTTGATGTAAAGACATTATCAACTTAGGCATAGATATATCCATGAAATGATTCGTTTTGATGTAAAGACATTATCAACTTAGGCATAGATATATTCATGAAATGATTCGTGTTGATGTAAAGACATTATCAACTTAGGCATAGATATATCCATGAAATGATTAGTGTTGATGTAAAGACATTATCAACTTAGGCATAGATATATCCATGAAATGATTCGTGTTGATGTAAAGACATTATCAACTTAGGCATAGATATATCCATGAAATGATTAGTGTTGATGTAAAGACATTATCAACTTAGGCATAGATATATCCATGAAATGATTAGTGTTGATGTAAAGACATTATCAATTTGACAAACTGAAATGATTCGTCTTGGTGTGGAGAAAAAGAAAAAATTTTACCAACTGGCGACATGGCTTAAGCAGGAATGAAAATCTGAACCGATTGAATGGGATTTCTCTTGATTTTAATGTATATCACCAACCGGGCTACTACAGATTGCACCAAAAGTCCTACCTTATATTTCACCAACTGGACTACCCAAACTACACCAAAAGTCCTACCCTACATTTCACCAACCGGGCTACTACAGATTGCACCAAAAGTCCTACCTTATATTTCACCAACTGGACTACCCAAACTACACCAAAAGTCCTACCCTACATTTCACCAACTGGACTACCCAAATTACACCAAAAGTCCTACCCTATATTTCACCAACTGGGCTCTCATAAAATGACAGACATTGCACCAAAACTCCTACCCTGCTTGCTTGGTCCATAGTGATGAATGAAGGAATCATGGTTTTCCTAAGGCTGTACTTGTCTCGCCACAGTTGCTCATTTGTGATTGTTGGATCAGAAGCAACAAAAAACTGAAGGGAAAAAAGAAGAGATTATGAAACAGTTATCTGAAAGACTCATGTTATATTGAAAGATGAGATTAGGCCAGATGTCATAGATTGCAAATCTTTCTGTTAAGGAATATAAACCTCTACTAAAAGGTTAAGTTTTCCAATTATATTTTAATGTTATTCCATTCAGATTTCCATTTATCCAATGGCTTATGGATCTTATTATTATTATTTTTTTTATAACATTTTTTAAATATTGATTGAAGATTATTATTTTTTATTTCTTCTTAGGTTTATTTTTTTTTTAAATTGATTATAGAGAATTGTGTGTGTTGATTCTTCATTTTTTTAAAATAATAACTCAAATGATCCTTAAAATTGATTAACAAATCTTACACAAATAAATCATTATATTTCTCACCACAATAAATCACTGTATTTCTAACCACAATTAAATCATTGTATTTCTCACCACAATTAAATCATTCTATTTCTCACCACTATTAAATCATTGTATTTCTCACCTCATGGTAAGCATCATCCAGTTCACCATCGTACATCCAGCGCAGTAGAGTGGCGTAAATTGGTTGACTGACCCAGGTCAGGAGGTGTGTGATTAAAGTCTTAACAGATGGGTCACCGTGGTGAGTGTAGGAAAATATGGTGGAGGTCAGGGCACCTCCTTTTTTACCTGTGGGGGAAACGGTACAATGATAGGACAGGTGGATGGGGACCTAAGTTCAGACTGAAAACATTATCATCATTGTGTATTGCATATCATATAATATAACACATACATAAATCATGTAATATGACGAAGACATAAATTATCACCTTATTTTGTGATACTGTTGAAGAATGAAGTAAAGTTGAAAAAGTTACCTCTACAAGTGTCTACTAATGCTTTATTTGAAACAGTTACCTTTACAAGTGTCTATTAATGCATTTTTTGAAACAGATACCTTTACAAGTGTCTACTAATGAATTTTTTGAAACAGTTACCTTTACAAGTGTCTACTAATGCTTTATTTGAAACAGTTACCTTTACAAGTGTCTACTAATGCATTTTTTGAAACAGTTACCTTTACAAGTGTCTACTAATGCTTTATTTGAAACAGTTACCTTTACAAGTGTCTACTAATGCCGCTAACCACTTGAGACGTTTCAGGGGGTCAAATGTCCAGACTCGCAATCGAGACAATGTAAGGTTAGAGGTTTCCTGCATCCCTGGATCCAGATCTTGCTGAAGCTGTCACATAACAATCCAAAGATTTTTAAAGCCTACATCAAGTCACATGGGAAGATTCTCATACATTGTCGCATTCTAAACTCACTCTATGACAGGGGTTCTTAAACTTAGTTTTGTGCCATGGACCCCTTTGCAAGTCAGATGAAGGCCACTTGTCAGATTCAAGTTTTTTAAAGCATGAAATAAAATAACAAAAGAAATGAAAGGTCACTGACTCTCCAAGGGGTCTGTGGACCACAAGTTAAGTTAACCCCTACCTTATGATAAATTTTAAATGTCAAATTCGCCACAATGGCCATCTAACCTAACTTTTCAAATTTGGCACTGTAGAGTATAAAGTAGTCCATTCTCTCACAGATTCTCTTCTCACAAACAATAATTACTTATTGGCTCAATCAAAAAACAACACAAGGGAAGAGACAAGGAGTGTTAGTTCAGATATTCCAAATTCCACTGTGTTATAAACTGATTATACATTTATTTAACAGGGCTTTTACAGGTAATCATTCACAATTTTCGTCATTTTTAGAAAAACTTAATTAATTTCTGGAAGGTCTTGCGGGACAAATCAAGGACAAATTTAGCCTTTCAAAAGACCATGAGAGACCCATAGGCTGACCACCTGTTTTATTGAAAGCTTTTATTTTGCGGCTTCATATTTTCATCTTTGTTCTAACAGAGATCATCTCATGCAGCCATTAGAAAGAAGGCTTTCTATCAGAGATCATCTCATGCAGCCCTTACAAAGAAGGCTTTCTATCAGAGATCATCTCATGCAGCCCTTACAAAGAAGGCTTTCTATCAGAGATCATCTCATGCAGCCCTTACAAAGATGGCTTTCTATCAGAGATCATCTCATGCAGCCCTTACAAAGAAGGCTTTTGGCTGGAGGCTTTACATGCAACATGCAGAAGGTCTTGAATATGTGGCTTGTGTATGACTTAAACTTTTCCTTTAAAAAAAAATAATTTTTTTACATCTTAAAAATTTTTTAAGAAAGAGTTGAGCAAATTCAAAATGTGACCCAATTCTTACCTGGGCCTCTAATATGGAAATCAGTCGCAGATATTCTGTCAGATCTTGGTTTAGGGCAGCACAAAAACTCTGAAAAGTTTGGACAAGTTGCAGGTAAATACATAGGATCAGACCAGTTGCAGGTAAATACATAGGATCAGACCAGTTGCAGGTAAATACATAGGATCAGACCAGTTGCAGGTAAATTAAGTTCACCACAGCTTTTTAATGAGATTGTCCAGGATGACAGGTCACCTATCAGTCACATGCAACTGGTGCATTGTGGGATGTGGTGATGTAAAAATAGACTAACACATAGTTCTAGATATAAACATACAATTGATTTATCAGACTGCACTATCTTCCATCCCCAGCATTTGTACAATGACATAATGATTAACTAGCTCTATATCTGTCAACATATACAACACAGGTAAACAGACTCAATGAAAAGATACACATGGTTGAAATAAATCATATCTGTTTAACACTACTGACAAACTCAGACAAGAACTCACTATATCTTAAACCAACTCTCTACAAAGACTAAACATGAACCATCTAATCACAAGATGAACCACAAAATATCCCAAGACAAATCACTGATATTACAAGACAAACCACTATGATACCAGAAGGCAAACCACTATCATACCTTACTGACCAGCACCAACACTGCACTAGAGTTTGGGCTATATAATCTGACTTACCTGACCGACCAGTCCAAATGCTTTGTCTGTAGAATGATGGTCAATGTAAGATTTGATTTTCATGTACAGCCAGCCACACTCTGATATTTTCAAAAGTTCTTGTTTGTAAACTTTTGGGATGCCGGACTGGAAAATGTCATTTAGAGCAAGCAAATTAAAAGTGTTTCTTACAAGCTAAACACTAAAAAAAAAATCACTTATCATGTCTTAATCTGTTATCTTATCTTTAAACCATTTAAAATCAGAAGGAACGTGAATTAAAAATATTTTCAAATTACATTATAAGCATTACTAATAGATAATCTTTATTCCTATTTAATTGGTACATAACAAAAATTAAAAATATGATGCTAAAGTTTGGCTGCATTTTATTGTAATCTGGGTAATTCTATGATTCCCCAAAATTAGTTTTTTAAAATAATCAAGGTCAAAGGTAGATTATCCTTTGACTTTGAAGTGTGGTTTCACTTTACAGGTCTGGGTGTTAAAAATCAGGGGATGAAACCGACTATGTTGTTCTACACAAATACTAAAAAAAACATTTCTCCGTTTGATAGATTTTGTAATAGCGAAGGACTACTAACATAAAAATAAAGACTGAAATAAATAAAATTATTTAATTTTATAATTATTTCCTTCTTTTTCTTTGTGTGTCTGTTGGTGTACATTTTCCCAAGGCGCCCAGAGGCGTAAATATTTTAGGACCAGGAGTCAAGGGTTCAAAGGATTAGCGCACACCTCATTGTCCACTTTGTAGGCATCTGCAATAGTGTCGAACTTGATCCAATGGCCTGAGATGCCCTGAAGTACATACACTAGATCCTTAAGTATTCCTTGCTCTGTGGGCTGATGGGTAGCTGAAGGAAGAATAATCATGGGAAGGTGAAGGGAGAATGATGATGGGAAGGTGAAAGGAGAATAAAGATGGGAAGGTGAATAATTATGGAAAGGTAAGGAAGAATGATGATAAGAAGGTAATGGAAGAATAATGATGGGAATGTGAAGGGAGAATAATTAACAAATTCTTAAATGGCTCTCTGTGCAACTTTCATCAACCAAAGATCACAATTGCTTAGTTGTTTTTTTTCCTGTAACTCCAGCAACACAAACATTCAATTTCATAGTCAGGATCTCCTTACTTCTGTCTCCCTGGTGTGTCAGAGTCCCTCTTGGTAAACTGTTTGCTGCTTGCTGGGAACTGGGAATATTTTCTGCAAAAATTGAAAACAGTATGATGACTTAACATGACTGCAATTATTAGGGCTCTTGGATGACAAGTTGTAGGACTATTATTGTATCTCAAGGGTCTTCAAACTAGGGCTCATGGGCCAGATCTGGTCCCCCGGGAGTTCCTTAATCTGGCCTGGCTGGCAGTGACAAATATAGAACCAGACATGTATCGTGTTGTTAGCCATACTTTCCTTTGAAATACTATTAAGCTGAAACTGTAAATATATTTTTTCCTCATATTAAATGTGGTGGGTTTTTTCCAAGGCTTTTCTTTCACTACAAATGAGATATGAGCAGTGTGCATAGATTTCTTCGTTCATATTTTTTTCAAACTATAGTCCAGTCCCCAACGGTGTCTGGGGACACTGATCTGGATCTCCATCTCCCCCCCCCCCCCCCAACTTGCTTAAAAAGTTTGAGGGCCCCTGGCCTAGGTGATACACAAATGCTCCACTGTGTGGGTGTGGGGTGTCACTGAACTAATCTGTGGAAGTTATGAAGCTTTAGTACAATGGGTAATAAGGGGAGAGACTGCAATCAGGTTAGTACAAAATAAAATGAGTAAAACAGAGTAGGGTTAAACCTGAAAAAATAAACGCAACAAAACAGCGAACGTGTCGGCAGAAAGCCTTCGTCAGCGAACAAAACAACAGAAAAAACGGTATAAAAATAAGAAATANCAGATACTACTTACCAGCTAAGTGCTATTTCTTATTTTTATACCGTTTTTTCTGTTGTTTTGTTCGCTGACGAAGGCTTTCTGCCGACACGTTCGCTGTTTTGTTGCGTTTATTTTTTCAGGTTTAACCCTACTCTGTTTTACTCATTTTATTTAGTACAATGGCATGGCACATGATTACTTTCATGGAGGCAATGGGAGAAAAGCATTTAATAACAAATTATTTACTTGCTCAAGCCCTGTATATATATAATATTTTTTCTAACCTTGTTATTATATACCTCAAGGTAAACAAAGCTTGAAAATATATATTTAAATATTTAAAAAATATTTTTTGAAGAATACAAATTTCATTTAATTATATTTAAATGTTCACTAAATTCACTGAAGTTGCACAAATTATAATTTTTATAAAGTATTATTAGAATTACCTTTATTTTCAACATGTCTGCTAAAAATGGAAACTGTGCGCAATCTGTTGGCGTGAGGGTCTGCATTGGTGGGTCGATTTAAGCCCAATGCTGGAGTGGCCAAGTGGCTAGTAGACGCAAAACAAGAGACATTGGTCTTAAGTCACAATGTGATTCATGCGGCTGTCTGCTGAAAGTGCCGCTTGTGTTATTGGTTAGAGGGGGAATAAGAGTCTGAGGGGAATCTGATAGATTTACTGAACATATTCACACATCATAACAAACCAAACAATATCCCCACTCCTCTCATTTTAATGGCGGCACACATAAAGGCAAGCTTAACTCTGGAGACACCTTTTAAGAATAATCATTAACATTTTTGCAAGGAAAAAAATTAGGGGGTTAGGTAATGAGTTTATTTACCTAGATTTTTTTTTAAAACAAAAAATGATATTGTTTTTCTTAACTTCTATTTGGACAGTAGGAGCAATAAGCCTGCTGATGGCATTTTTTTTCCCCAGCCTTGAGATAAGCAGATCTTTTTATTTCACTTTCTATATTTATATTCTTTACAATATAATTTTTTCTATCAGCAAGATTGCCAATTCATTCTGTCTTGAGACATGGATAATCGTAAATATGTTTTTATAAGCACCAGCGGCTACAGTAATAGGTATTGTAAGCATTGTTCTTAAAGCTACCCACGGATTTGACATGACATCCATTAACTTAATAGTTTTGATGAATTCTCCCCCTCATTACCATTATACTTATAAGCTGACTATTTACCTTGGAATAAACGACTGCGCCAGAGTTTCAGCATCCCCACCACTGAAGTCCCTGCTCCTGATGCTGCTAATGCCACTGCTACCCCCCGTGTAATGAGATGCATTGGACAAAGTTAGAGCAGAGGTTCTTTCTTGCGGTTTTATGCCTCGGACATCTATAGCGTTATATGGGGTTGACACCAGGTGAGACGGGATACCATGAGTAGCAAAACCTATTCTTGAGACTTTGGCCTGAGAAATAGCAAAAAAAAAGTTGACTAGCATGAAATGATACTGGAACCAATACTGATATAAATACAAATTGACTAATGTGAAATGATACTGGAATTGATAATGGCTAATGAAGAATAACACATTCCCGGGATGTTATTTTACTGATCAGGGTCAAGGTCTAGGCATTAATATTCAAAAGTGCATATTTCTTTACTATTCATGCAATATAGTTTCTTTTTATCACCGTTATTACTGCTTTCATTGTGATCCATGTTTAACAAGAACCCTAACTCTTTGTTTGAAAAAAGCCCAAAAAGGACACATCCGTGTAAAATGCGATCAATTCATCTCATTCCATAACATAACTTTTCTCGCAGAACGGTGAAACATAAGGTTATAAAACAGTAAAGTCAATGACTTTGCAAGACAGACAATATTCATTTAGCTTGATTTAAATGCATACACTTCCAGGAATCTGTATTACTAGAGATAGCTTAATTAACTGATGAATTATAATTAGTTACATCTGAATTGCCATCCAATTCATCATCTGGGTCCTATATTTATGAAATTGCTATTCTTTGATGTAAAAACTCAAAATTTGAATTAAATCGGACTTTAAAAGAAGTTATTTACATTCAAAAATTGTGATTATCCATTTAGAAAAGTAGTTAACCTGTTAAAGCATGGGTCCTCAAACTATGGCCCGCCACATGTCCATAACCCGGCTTGCAGTAACTAATAAATGGAAACGAACATTGAAGATCTTCTTTGCCTAAAGCAGACCCATAATTCCCTTTGAAATACTAATAACTATATTGTTTCAATTTTTTATTCCTTTTAAATATTACATTGATTTTTCCCGTTCTTTTCACTATGAGTGATGTGCATTCGTTCATATTATTTTCAAACCACAGTCCGGCCCCAGACAGTGTCTTAGGGACAGTGAACTGGGTCCCAGGAGTCTACGGGGCACTGAAATAGCCCACTGATGAAAAAGTTTGAGGACCCCTATGTTAGAATGGGCTTGCAGCAACAGGGACTGATTCATAATTTTTTTCTTGGTGCTATGTTTAAATATAAAGTGTTACTGGATAATTCTAAAAAACTGCTTATGCACAAATAACCACAGTCCGGCCCCAGACAGTGCACAAATAACCACAGTCCCGCCCCAGACAGTGCACAAATAACCACAGTCCGGCCCCAGACAGTGCACAAATAACCACAGTCCGGCCCCAGACAGTGCACAAATAACCACAGTCTGGCCCCAGACAGTGCACAAATAACCACAGTCCGGCCCCAGACAGTGCACAAATAACCACAGTCCGGCCCCAGACAGTGCACAAATAACCACAGTCCGGCCCCAGACAGTGCACAAATAACCACAGTCCGGCCCCAGACAGTGCACAAATAACGCAAAACCCTAAATTTACACCCTAAGTACATTTTTTAACCCTAAATTTCTGGCATCATACGCTGTAATATACAATGTATAGTTATTTATTAATGAGAAGACTATTTGGTAAAGTAAGAAATCTTGAAATCTATAACTAAAACCTCACCTGTTGGCTTTGGTCATCTAATGATGACAATTCTTGTAATAGCTTTAATATTGCAGATCTGTTTCTCAACAACATCTGGAGCACAAAAACAATATTATTAGAATCAATCATGGCTAAACTTTTAGTTACATTGCAACATGCAGCAGTTTTCCTCAATAATTTTTAACAGTTGCTTAAATCTTATTACTAGGATATGAAAGTCGATGAATAATCTTTTTTATTTAAGCAGTTGGAAGTAAGACTAGTTCTCCTTACTGTCTCTATAATCTATTAACTTGTTCATTGCCTACCTGAGATTGCAACTTGCGGTGCAAGTCTGCAAAATGTGCTGCATCTCTCTCTTTTCCATGACGCACCACTATGCGGAGTAAGATGAATTTGCGTAGGAAATATAAAAACAGCATTGTATCAGTTTAAAATTAATTGGTGATCACAGAAATTCTTTAATTAAATGTTGAATGCCAAGATGAAATCAAAACACAATTTGTGTATTTTCAAAGCATATGAGATTTTACATGTTATGCTAATTTTGTTCTTGAAATTAAAAGTTTCATTCCAGATTGATCTTAGCTAATATAAAAAATCGAGGCTTGTTCTAAAAATTACATAAAAAATGTATAAAGATTTTTAAAAAAAACAACTTACACTGCTTCTTCAACCGCTCTACAATACGAAATTCATCTTCATCTTTTGTGGATGTTTGGCTAAAAGTGTGGAGTAGAAACACAAGTACTTTAGCTGCACATAAATTTCCCATATAACATCCTATTATTACATTCAATAATGGAACAAATAAAAAAAAGAACTGAATAATTTCATTCATTAAAAGCTGAGTCCTATACAGTAGATATGAACGACCTTTGTAGAGTTGAAAGATAGAAACAATCTCAAACTAGTTACTAATTGCCTGCGTAAACTGATAATTTATCCATCATGTGGCGCTACAGATCATGCAAGGCTTTGCACTGCCTCACCACTTTCTTCTACTCAGTCTACTCATTTCTAACTGATGCTTTTCTTTTCCAAGCTTGGACTCCCAGCTGCGTAGATCTTTCCCCACATCTTTCATCCATCTAAGCCTATGTCTGCCTTTCAGCCGTTTTCCTCTGGAGTTTAGGTGGTGCACCCTCTTCACTCCTCTGTCATTTGGCATTCTTTTTAAAAGTCCTGCCCATTTTTTTATTTCTGCTACTAGCAGGGGATTCTGATATAGAGTATACGATTCCTGGTTGGTTCTTGTTCTTCCTCCATACTCATCCTTTGTTGATCCATATATTTTCCAGAAAACTTTTTGGGAGAAATTTTCTCTTCCATGTGTTTAATATGTTTTCTGCCATTTTTTGTCAGGGTTCAAGTTTCACTTGTGTATTTTACAACTGGTCTGATTACAATTTTAAATATAGTTTTCTTTGTTTTTTCTTTTAATGGATAATTTAGGTCTTTAATTTTCCACAACCCATAAAATGGAGGAAAAGTTGGTATCCTATTTATACTTTGAACGTTAATATACAACTAGCTAAATATGAAAGAGATTGGTGTGTATAATAAGAAAATGTTCAATTCCTTACCTGCTGCAAATTGTATGTGCATATTGTACATGATGGACAACATCACCTGTGTAATAAATCATTTCATTAAAAAATATTAGCTCATTTTATGAATATACTATACTGCCCAGTGTCTTGTCTTGGATCACCGTGACTATCAGTAAAAGAAATTATAAATTATAGAGGCTATAATAGCTGATATAGTAGTATAGTCTTTTCAACATTTTTCTTTATGAATTAAGTTATACATGTCTCTTTATTATTTAAAACAAAAATGAGAGGTCTATTTTTTTGTAAATTCGGATAACAAGGCACAAGGTATAGAATGTTGTGCATTATGTGATTGTGGCTGCCATCTGAACAACAAAACTAGCTTATAGCTATCACTTTTTAAGAAAATAAGTGCTTAAATTGTTGGGGGTAACTGTGGAGAGTGCATAAGGCATAGTTAACATTAAATATAAGTAAGAGAGACAGTAGTGTCAAGTTTTTCTTTTAATTACCATGGATAATAAGCAAAATAATGGTCATCAGGTGGTGGGGCGGGGGTGGTTCAATGAGCCTCCCCCCCAAACAGTAAACCCCCCCCCCCCCAATTTTGCTGGGAGCTTAATCTGGCATTCTTCTGCTCAAGCCAAAGTGGTGACAATTCTCAGATTCTGGCACCCGAATTGGCCTAAATCCTAAATTATCAACATTATTTAATTTTAAAAATAAATTGGCCTAACTATAGAGTCATAGTATAAATTATATTATTTAGATAATACTAATAGTAAATAATAATAGTATTATAATTTATAATAGTAATAGTCTTATAATTTATTAAATTTAAATTGACAATTGACAATTGTTCAAACTGTTGAATTGTTATTGTTTGATGAGTTTTACCTCCATTTAGTCCAGTTATTTTGGTACAAAGGCGATAAAGCAGTTCTGATACAGTCTGCAATTGTTCATCTGCAACTTTTCTTAAAGCCATTACTAAAAATAAAATAAACCATAATATCTCGACTTTGTTATAAAATTTTCAAATTCAAAGATGACTTTTCAAATTTAGTTGTACGATACGATTCGGCTCCAATCTTGTTTTGGTCATACTTTTTCTCGAGATCAAAAATTAAGCCGAGACATAATAGTACTTGGTCTGTTGCTAGGTATTTTACTCATACCGTAAACCAAATTAATAGCTTCTATGCTCCTTTGTAACGAAAAAAAATTTTTTATAGACCCTGAATTTTCATTATATCTCTTAATTTTATTTTTATAGAAATAAAGCAAGAAGCATATCTACAAATTAATAGAGTCAGCGGTAGCATAGTGCCACATAGGGAGGTAAATGGGGGGGGGGTGTGGGGGGGGGGGGGGGGGGGTCCCACCACAGGCGGCAATTTTTTCTTAATATTGATTGAGGGGCAGCATTTACGGTCAATAACACATTATTTATTTATTTATTTGTGAAAGGAGGCAGGAAAAAGTTTGGCCCGCTCCGGTTGACACTAATCCTAGCTTCGCAATTGAGAATCCTGTTTGTAAAATTTAAGCAAAATAACATTTATAAATGTAGTTAATGTCTATCGATCTCTCTCTCACCCACTCACTCCGGTTTACACTAGAGCCGTTGTCTCCAAACTTTTCAGCCCGAGGGCCGCATTAACTTCATTAACTATCAAATAGCAGTTTGGCGGCCGACTACACACTCGATGTCCAAATAAAAAAGAATCAAAACATGGATGTTGTTTTTAATTATTTGTTTAATATTATTTTATTCAGTTATTATTTAACAACACATTGATATACTACAAAGGAAGGTCATTTGCTTGCAACTCAATGACCTCCAGCTGCAGTTCATCTGGGCAAATGACCATTTCTGCTTCTAATGGATTTTGAAAGTTTATGAAACAGTCTCACTTCTTCTGTCTTTGAATCCAAGTCAGTAAATCGCTGCTGAAACTGCAGTCGGAAGTCTTTGATGATCTCGCATGCAAATGATTTGGAGAACTCTACTGCAATGTAGTGATCGGTAGTGCACGCCTCTATTTTAATTCGGTAAAAATATAACGTCGACGTAAGCGGTGGCTGATCTTGGCAGGATACACGTAAATTTCTGTAATGTTTTCCGTATACTATACAAAAAGGTCTCCACGGGTCAGATGAGAGTGCCTCGCGGGCCGTAGTTTGGAGACTCCTGCACTAGAGGAACAACTTAACGTGTTGGGCTCACATATGTTTTTTTTTTTTTTTTTACTTTTGCTTTTTTTTTCTCGGCTTACCAAATAAAAGGTCTCCACGGGTCAGATGAGAGTGCCTCGCGGGCCGTAGTTTGGAGACTCCTGCACTAGAGGAACAACTTAACGTGTTGGGCTCACATATGTTTTTTTTTTTTTTTTTACTTTTGCTTCTTCTTTCTCGGATTACCAAACTGAAACTGAAAAAAATCAAGAAAAATACTTTCCGAAAATAAACTTTAGGACCTATCAAAGTTAAATCATGCAAAGACTTTGGGACTGACAATTAGTCTACAGAATTTTGTGGCGCAGACCAAACGTTACTATTGAGGGACATAATCTTCAGTAGCTGAGCTTTTCATATACCTTGTGTCCTAACTCACTCTCCGTTTACAAACAGGTGAACACCAGGATCGCAGAAGCAGGACTAAGTGCCTAATAAAGACGACAAATAGGTTTTGGAACGTCCCAAAATGTGCAGGATTTTCTCCACTCTTAGCAAGAGCCACATTCGCTGGTTATGTAGCGTAAGAAGAATGAAGAAGGCCAGAAAGCCGTATTCCAAAGAATATGATGTATGGAGGGGTAGAAGAGGGACTAGACTTATTGGACGACCTTAGCTGCGATTTGCAAAAGAAACACGAGAGAAGCCTACACAGAAATCGGCAAATGGGAAATGATCGCTGATCACCGTTCCAGCTGGCAAACATAATAAATATGATTGTTTTAGTTAATTAAGGTGGATAATAATTAAATGAAATTTATACTCTTTTATGACAGTAATTTCCCTTGAGATGCGCGCGCACATGACAACAAACATGGAAGTCTTCGTAAAATGCGGAGGATCTTCTACGTAAATAATGAAATATTAAAAACAAAAATATAAATAGCTTAAAATAACTACAGATGTTGAATTTTAGATGTAACTTCCCTAAATTACGCACGCAGAGATCTGGATTCTAAATAAAGGTTTTAGTAATGGCAATGCAAATACGTTCCCCTTAAACTTAAAGAAAATTAAGTTAATTAGGCTTAGGCCTAAAATTAGGGCCTAATATTTTTAAGTCAAGTTAGGTTTCACATTTTCTTTGGAGACTTCCCTTTTTTTTCACAATTGCTTCAGGTTTATTTGTAACATAATTTTGTTTATTTATCACGTACCCCGCTTGTCCCATGTCACAGATGAGCATTATCTGTGCTAAACTTCAAAGTCTGTGCCGTTGACATCGTGTGATGTAACAACAAACCCCTTACAGTTACAGCCTTACAACTTACACTCACAGTTTACAGTGTTATTCAGGCTTATTTATTTCCTCATTATTATTCCACATCCACAGCCTATAATGGATTTGGTCGCAGTAGGTGTCCCTCTCACTTAAGGCACTTAGCAATAATGAATAATATGCTTACCGGTAAATGCAAAGAGAATGCGCCATGACTTATCACATGGCCGCCATCTTGGTTGCTAAAATTAGGAATAAAACGTTAAAATTTAAGGAAAAAAAATGTCCCAAAATGTATCCCTAAACCTAATCTGAACCCTAAATCACTAACAAAATGTATCCCTAAACCTAACCTGAACCACTAAATCTATCCCTAAACCGAAGAGAAAATCCAAAACGGAAACTTTACAAAAACTCGTAAATGACATCATTCATCATGGCACATTCTCTTTGCATTGACCCTCCCTAATAATACTTGTTGTCTCTGCTTGGCTAGGTTGCCACAAGGTGAACCTCTCGACCTGTGTCAGCCGTAAGGTCCCTTTACTTTAGTAGTGCTTTTACTTTTATAAGCCATAATTTTAAGCATTCGTTGTTTAATTTTCAAAAAAAATATTCATGTAGGCACTCCAATACTTCCGCCGCCCGCGATAGAAAAACGAGGCCTGCCGAGCGGCGATCGCTGTGATCAGCAGGCGCTTTTCGTTTTCGGTAGATCTTGGTGATTAGTGTTGTTTTGCGTCATTTCTAAAAATAGAGGACTCTCTCGCCGCCCGCGATAGAAAAACGAGGCCTGCCGAGCGGCGATCGCTGTGATCAGCAGGCGCTTTTCGTTTTCGGTAGATCTTGGTGATTAGTGTTGTTTTGCGTCATTTCTAAAAATAGAGGACTCTCCTTGGTTTTATTCAAATCTGCGATGCATGCCGGTTACGAGGGTATGAATTAAGTGGAAATCTGACCTTGCTGAGACGATTAATTGGAAAGTTGACTTGGGGTAAGTGAGTTTGCTGTGCTATATTTTTTTTTTTAAATTGCGTTCGGACTTGGAAATTACTTGTTCGCATAGATTATATATTTTAAAAGCAGAAACACTTATTTTAAAGAGTATAGATCGTCCCCAAAATTTATGAGAGCTTGAACCGTGTGACTAAAAATTCAAGGTTGCCAAGTCGTGGCCATTTTTTCCCCCTCGATCTACCGGAAGTGGTAAATCTCTAATGTAAACAGTGGTTATTATTATTTAAAACCTTTTTCAAACAACTAAATAAATATTTCCTGTATTATAACTTAGTAGTTTGATTTTAAATAAACTTTTTAATAACTGGTTTTTAATAATAATTACACTTTAGGCCTATATAGTTATTATATAAGAGCAGGCTTTGGATCAATAAAACTAATACATATACTGAGATAAAACAACAAAGTCAAAGTGAAAAAAGTGCTTTGACATACAAATAGCAATGAATTAGATAGTAAGATAGCCCCTAGTCCTAGTTATTATCAGCTATAAGTGTACATATAATAAAGAACATTGTGAAGCCTATTTAAAAATATTGAATCATTATTTACATGTACCGGTATTCATAAATTAATAGTCCTAATCTTTATTTTTTATTTTCCAGAGTTACAGATTGTAATCACTCCCTGTAATTTTGCTATGTATTTACTTGGAGGAGATCAACAAACAACCCAATTTGATATTGACAATGGAGGCATATTTTTTTAATGTACCAATCGATGAGGATGAAGTGTTGCTAGACCTCCGGAGCCGAAACAATGTCGACAGATTACATGACATTTTAAAATTTTGTATAGCATGATTTTAATTGCTTTTGATATATTTTAATACTCTATTATATTTGGTTGGACACTATCTATTTTTACTGAAAATTTGATTGCATTAGCTTTATTAGTTTAAAAGTTGTATATTTAAATGTAAAAAATTTCTCGGCCGCAGTTGCTTTTCATAAAATATTATTTCTAATACTGCATAAATTTTTCTGATCTGTATTTTATTTATGTTAAATATGCCTTACTTTTAGATGGACATTATCTGTTTGTATTGAAAATTTCATAGTGATAGCTTTATTGGTTTAATAATTATGTCATTTTTTTAAGAAAATTTTTTTTTCGACAATTGTCGTTATCCATGCTATATGCTTATAAAATTTTTTTTTCAAAAAATATAATAAGTTAATTCAAAATTCATGTGTTTAATTTTGTTAAACATTGTATTGTAAATGTGTCCTCCAAATTTGAGCAGTCTAACTTTAAAAGCCAACAAGATACAACCAAAATAGTACAAAAAGAGTAATAATTCGATCACAGTTTTAAAAATTAAATACAAAGCCAAATAGTGGGAAAAAATAAATCACTAAAAAATTCATAACTTTTCTTCTATAAGTGATAGAAAGATTATCTTGGTGTCAATGGAAAGCTTAAAGTCAGCTCTTTCCAATGATATGCTCCTTGTGTATGTCAGATGTATCTGAAATTTTGAGTTGGAGTACCTAATTCATGCGTTTCTGAAATTTTTTTTCTCCATCATTCTGTACCTTTACAATCGGGCTGGTTTCTCAATAATAAAGAACATAGAAATAATCATCAATAAATGATTTATATTATCGTTGGATTCAAAATGGAAATACCTGTTACTGATACCAATTTTCAGATCATAGTTAATTATGGTTTTGATGTCAGAGTCAGGCCAAAAGAAGGAGCTTTATTAGTAAATTTTTAAAAAAATGTTAACATACTACAAACAGGTAGAAGCAAAAAATAATTTATGAATTTTAAAAATAGTGAAAGTTTACATTTTTTACCATTTATTAAAAAAATAAATACCTGTATGACAATATCTTCTTTCCAAAAAAATTTAACAAGGGCAGCATATAAATTCTATATTTTCTCAATATTTTATAAATCAGATTAAGATTTTGGACATTATATTTTTACTTTATTGTATATTTTTTAACTGCATGCTAAGTTATAATCATTATATTTCTGCAGCAGAAACATAGGCAACAAAGTTTGCCTGATTAATTCTACTGTGGAACAAAAAAGACTAAAGCTATGAGATCTTTTTAATTATTCAAGACATGCATTTTGTTTCTCTCAGATTAAAAGAAATATGACTATTAGTCTAACACAAGAGATTAAAATTTCATTAAAATGAAAGAAGAAGGTGCTAGACCACTATTTTTTTCTTCTATTAACCACGTTTTTTGCATTATTTGTATTTATTCAAAAGTTGATCTCTTTTATAAACTAATTTTATCACAATCCAATCAACTAGGCAGAGTAGTTACATTCAGATTGACCTACATAAACAACAGAACCATTTATACTTTTTAATTAGATATTGAATCTGCAATTATGAAATAAGTATGTCCCACCCACTTGTTAAAATGGTTGAGCCAGTGCCTAGAGGCGCTTTAACATCTATGTTTTTAACTAATTTATCCATGAAATTATAGATTCACTTTAAAAATAACTTTGGGAAATAAAAAGGTGGGGGGAAAAAATCATGTTTTATTCTATTGATCACTTGTAATCGAAAAGTCAGTATAACATACTCTGAGAGTTAAAACAAAGTATATATCCTATTCTTCTTTTGTTTACAATTAAAATTTTAAAACTTAAAAGTAGAAAATAAAAATATTATGCAAAAAAAAAGTCTGTGAAGAAAATATTTAAAATAAAATTTAAAAATAAAACATTGCCTTTTTAAGTTTGGTCTACCTTTAATTCAACTCCTTTGGATTCCTTGAGTGCCTTGCTACCATCACCACAGCCTTTCTTTGAGTGATGCACTTTAAGAAATTTTAAATTCTTTTGAGTGCCTTTAAAACTGGTCATTGAAACAAAGTCTTATTTGAAAAAGTTTTTAAAATATTTTTGAGGCAGTTTAGGCCTTATTTCCTAATCATATAGTTGTAGAATCTAAGAATTACTTGATTTATAACTTTATAAGAATATTTAAGATATCTATGACCATGCCACTGCCATACATTTTCTGGTACCCAACCCTAAGTTTTTCTGCAAGTTTGCAGACTGAAACTGTTAGCTAAAACAATGTTGAATAATTTTTTAATACTCATATTTGAAACATCTATTTTTTTAGTTATCTTTAACCCTATTAATAAAAGTATTAATCATGTTGAAAAATATATCAGGGTCATTTGTCAATTTGCTTTTATAAAATGGGGTCCTAAGTAAAAAAAATTTGGAATCTTTTGTGCTTAAAAACTGCTCAAATGGGTTTGTTTCAGTTCTAATCTTCTCTAAAATACAGTATCTTGCAAAAAACTTTTTAAAAAACTAGGACTATAAATTTTGTAACAATTTATGTTTAATTGTGCTAATTAATTTCAGTTCATTTTAGAAAGGCATAGATCTATTTCTGTAAAATTAACCATCTTGATTCATTAGGGTGGGGAACCTGGGACTTGCAGGCTCCATGTGGCAGCTGAATTTTCTAAAAACTGGATCAATGTTTACATTAAATGCAGACCTCTGAATTCTGAATGATTATCTGCAAAAGTGGAAAATTTTCAAACTAATAATAATAATCGCAGCAAATTTAAAAATTATTCCACATCTTTTTTGGGAACTGAACTTGGAATGAATTTTCGAAGCCCATCTTTGACGAAGTATATGACCTATATAGCCAGCTCAGTTGTCGAAATGCTAACCTTTTCTTTTTTCAGGAAGATGTAAAAAAGATGGAAACAGGATCAGTTGGTTGAAGTGTGGCTTTACTGATTTGTATCCATCAGTTGACACAATGGGCCCAGGTGAAGTCAAGCTGCCTCCTGATCTTCCAAACTGGTACTTGATTAAGGAACTGCTGTTGGACCTACATGGTCGACTCATCAAAGAAAGCATAACTGATCAGGTAGGGGAATAAGGAGATATGCACTGGTTTTAAGAAATTGACACATCTCTTGTATAGGCTTTACATATATTTTAATTGGATAGATTATTATTTAGAATGTCAAACGATAATTGGAAATCGGTAATGTTAATATGGGTGGTTTCATTTTTGGTAAAACGATAATGAGTAGTGGATAATAGTAGATCTTTCTTACTAGAATTTTTTTTAAAGTTTCTATTAATAGATTTACTAGAGTTAATGTTTTTTTTCAAAAATGAAAATAGTTCTCCATTGATCCATTTAACAAAAAATTAAATACAAACTGATGATCAATTTTAATTTTTGTTAATTTTAGTATGAAAAGTACAAAAATTTCAGAATAAATTATTGTTAAAATAAGTAAAAGAATTTGGGTACAAACATTCTTTATCAATTTGCTAATCTAATCAATGGAATAGCTAGAGTTTGTGTTGTTTGGGTGGTCTTTGATTTTGCAGCCCCTAAAAATCACAATGCTAACAGAAATAATCATTAAAAAATAAGCTTTATAAGTGAAATAAAGTGGACCAATAATGCAGCTTAAAAAAATCATGATTTTATTTTTTAAAAGGCTTATTTAGATTGGAAATATTATTCCAAATATTTTGTCATGAATCTTCTGGTTTTGTTTTCTGTGGTCTGGGTCAACAATTTTTGTGGAGGTTTTCTATTTTAAAAAAACTCTGCATCTGTAGATAGAGTAATGAAACAAAAAAACTTGCTTTTACTTTCAGGAAACTGGTTGGTTTATGCAGACAATCTACACAACAATTCAGGCCGATCGACCTGTCAGTACAACTTGTAGCAATCCACTAAGCAGATTAATGCAGACCGTGTACAGCTCCATTCCGACCCTAAGGTCAAGCAGCACTTCTTCATCAAGCCCCTTGAATCGTCTCAAATCCCAGATCCAGTCCAATGTTAAAAAAAAGCTGGAGCCCAACTGTGTGTGGTATGGTATGCTGAAATACCTAAAGAGCATATCCAAGGCTGACAAGGAACATTTTCTTTATTTTCTTCTACCAAATATCATTAAAATGGCTCTACGTATAGAAGACTCGAGACCTAAAGAGGGCCTCTTTTTTAGCAGAAAACAGAATGGTGAGTTGTTTTTCCCCCTTAATTTCTAGAGATAAGATTATACAAGTTTTCGTTTTTGATTGTGATTACTTGAAGGTTTATTTACATGCGTTAAATATTTTTAGAATCAAAAGAGCTGGTACTTTAAAAGTATTTCAATGTTAGAATCAAAAGGACCAGCACTTTACATGTGTTCAGTTATAAATGGAGGGCTGTGCTCATTTAGTGTGTTTAATTTGCATTTAATTTTACTTACCTCAGTTTCTACAGAAAAAGAATTTTACTATCTGATGAGAAAGTGTTCAATTGCTAAGCAGGGTTTCCCAACCTTTTCTGTATTTTGCACCCAGTATGAATTGTTCGACTAAGTCTTAAACCCTCATCAATTTTGTTGACTAAGTCTCACACCCCGTATGTATCATTTGACTAGATCTTGAACCTTTTACAAGTTATTTGACAAAGTCTCACACCACAAAGAGTAGTTTGACTAAGTCTCGCACCACCTTTAAAAGTAACAATGGTTTTTAAAATTGCGAAAAAATAGACACTTATATAAATTGCGAAAAAATAGACACTTATTTCTTTGTAATTGAATTAAAAATGGAACTGTAGAATTTTAAAAAGAAACGTGTAACTTTTAACATAAAGTCAAATGTTCATGAAGAAAGTAAAAGATATGCAAACACTTTTATCATGTCTTAAAAATTAATGGCTCTCCATTCTTATGAGCACATTTCCTTGCTCCTTCGGAAATGCCAGGTTGGGAAATCCTGCTGTGTAGGATGAAGCTTACGTGTCAAATTTGCAAAACATTCAAATGAAATGAAACAACCATGAAATTAAATTATTTTATTACTGTTACTGTGCACGACAAAGTCATTGCAGTATTATAAATGTATTTGTCTTTCCTGTATTTGTTTGCTACTCTGTTTGAACTTCTGCAGGAGGCAGCACAGCATTGTCCCGGCAGTTTGTTTGCTCGGTTGTGGCCTGTTTTTTCTTGTGCCTGTTCCCAGAGAGAGTTAGAGAAACCACATCTGACATGAACATCGTGAACTTCACCACATTTTTCAAGCACCTTCAGTTGTACGTTGCCCCATGTTTTTGCTTTCTTTATGTGTGGTGACCTGTATAGAATGTACTGGCGCCTTTGAACAAGCCTCGTCTTTTTTCATATGTGGTCGCCATAGAGTTTAATTTCCCCTTTGAACATGGGTTGTCGAAACTTTATTTCCATGAATTTTTATTTGCTTTTAATTACTTAAGAGAAATCTTGATGAAACTTAATGTTTGTTTTTTTAAAGTATACTTACATTTAAGATTATTTATAGTCGATATCATATATTTTCTAAAATACAGAAGATAAGTAACATTTAATAAATTTAAAAATGCAAATGTTTTAATGAAAATCAACTTATTTAAAAAAACAGTTGTGACTATTTGTTGAAGTGTACATGTTCACGTGTAGACTTGTATTCCTTGTAACATCCCACAGGCCGTCCCAAGTGTCTAAGTTGCGCTGCATACTGCATTATTTTGAATGTGTCGTTGAAAGAGGAATGACAATAACTGGCAGTATTGTATTTACTAGAAAGGTAAGCGTTTTTGGAAGCAAGTGTTGCTGAACACAGTATTTTAATTTTTTTACCCTTAATTCTTGGTCAGTTTGTGCACCCAGTGACAGAATGTGTACATCCTGGTGAGTGTGCACATGCCGTGACAGAATGTGTACATGCTGGTCAGTTGGTGCATGCTGTGACTTAATGTGTACATCCTGGTCAGTTGATGCTCACTGTGACAGAGTGAGTGGGACAGTGTAGAAACTTAAGCCAAAAACCTAAATAAACTGAATTAGTAATATCACCGTGACCGATTAGTTGACAACCACACTTTCTAGCATACAATATTTGTAAAAAAGCTAAATTCTAGATGAATTGATAAAATGTAATTGCCTTTTCCCACAGATACTCAGTTAAGAGATTTAGAAAAAAATAATTACTGCACAGTTAGGGACTTTTTTGGTAAATAGGATTAAGAACATCAGGAAACCTTGCAACAAAAAACAAACAAAAAAAGCTTCAAAAATATTTGTTTGGCTTTTTAAATGAATACTTTGATTGGATAGAAAAATTCAGATTTTAAACAATTTGTCATAAGAACTTGGCATTGAATACATTGCAAATCAACTGATTTTTGAGGCAACCGCCAAGGAACTCCACCTTTCTATCCACTGGTTCTGTGGGACTTTCCTGACCACTGGTTACATAGGGCCTGTCTGTCCATTTGTTTAGTGAGACCTTTCTATCCACTAGTTCTGTGTCACCTGTCTGTCCATGGATTCTGTGACATGTCTGTCCATTGGTTATTTGGCACCTGTCTATCCACTTGTTATGTGACATTTTGTCTACTGGTTATGTGAAACCTGGCTGTTCACTGGTTATGTGGGATCTGTCTGTTCAGTGGTTTTGAGGGACCTGTCTATCCATTGCTTTCTTTTACTTGAATATCATTCTATTATAAAATGCTGGTACTTAATGACCTAAATTCATTGGCCTTGTCTTGTGATGTGTACCGTTGTAAAATCATTGCTTGTCTTACCTTAGGTTGTAACCCCCACCTGGATACTTAAGTTTGACGAGTTAACTCAATGTGAGATGAGCCTTTGTCCAGTGAAGGTCTTTTCTAAAGGTGTTATAGAAGAAAGTGGTGCTGAAGTCATACAGGTATACTATGTCACTGATATTTATAAGACAAGATTCTTTTATTGATCCAAACAAATGGAAATGTTTTTTGATAGCCTTGTACATTTTTAGCACACAACTAAAACAATTTGAACAAAAGACATCTACATTAAGTTATTTCACTAGTAGAAAAAAAACAGCCATTCAGTGAATTCTCTTAGCCATATTAGGGACCTATTAGTTCTCATTTAGTTTTGTGACTTCTGGGGGAGCATGCTGGTAAATTTGTACAGTTTGGGCAACGAAATAGTTTTTATATCTGGGGATTCAGATAAACTAGCATGATGTTGACACTTGAGGGCTTCCAGGAGACCAAGAAAGACTAGGCATACATCAAGAGGAAAATAGGACAGACAATAATAATTTCTGTTCAACGCTACCTCACACTCTGTGCATTGTTGGTACATGACCTATGAGAAGAATTAAACCTACATAAAATTAACTATAACTAAGTATTTTGCTTCTTTTGGGGATATATAAAAGTGTTTTTGGCATAGTTTGTCTTAGTTCTTTCCATAAGGGTAAATGAACTTTTTCTTTGTTTGATTGTTTGCCATTAGGTAGACTTTGCTAACCAGTCCATTGGAGGTGGAGTGCTGGGAAGGGCAAGAGTGCAGGTAAGGCATTGGGCGGTTCAACTTTTGTCATTGTTACAAAGTCACCCAAATAAGAGTGCAGGTAAGGCATTGGGCGGTTCAACTTTTGTCATTGTTTACAAAGTCACCCATATAAGAGTGCAGGTAAGGCATTGGGTGGTTCAACTTTTGTCATTGTACAAAGCCACCCAAATAAGAGTGCAGGTAAGACATTGGACAGTGAGGTTATTTCCACGGTTTTACCAAGCACTTTGAGACGTGGAACAAAAACAAGACCACTGACAGCAGGTTTACTTCACACTATATTCCTTTAATAAAAGGGAAGTAACTCCCTTATACCAAACTTACTTCTTGCCTGACAGCAGGTTTTAACTCCCTTTTACCAGTGACTTACAATTTATTAAAAAAAATGTCCAGCTGATAAATATTAATGAATTAAGAATAAATGCATCCAAATATTGATTAGGTTTAATAAAAATTTAACATTAGCGGCGAATAAATAAAGAGCAGTTACCAAAAAATTGATTTGTTTCCACTTGGTACAAACACGTTAGCTAGAGACGCATTGTATTGAAGCACTCATAGTCATAGATTGAACGTGAAATAAGATTTTAAAAATTTTAACAAATGAATTCAGGCTGTAAACATCAAACAGCGCACTGAATCACTCAGCGAAATTGGTTCACATGACCAAACCTTAACCCTGTAACTGTCATAACGGCCGATCATATATAAATGAGTTTGGTCTCTGTTTTGGTTTCTATCATTGTGTCACTGTGCTTTTATCTGGACTTGTTTGTGATCCATTGGGTGTGAAATCAGCTCAATTTTTTTTTTTTACTGCAATTTTGTCTGATGCTGGAGAAATTCTAGAGTCAACACAGACTTTCTTTATTGGAATTATTTAAAATGGATTCCATGGGGTATTCCATTGGTCAGTGCCGACTGTATAAGCTCTAGCACTGATGGCGATATATGAGTCATATATTGAAAATTTTAGCTCTAAGCTTAATCCTCATGTTATAGACAAATTCGTTTGGGAAAGGGTGAAAAAAAACCAACAAAGATTGGATCCCCAAGACCTATCCTTAAGAGATTCAAAGACATTTGTGTTTCTGAATGTTCTGGCATATTAATTAATAAAAAATGGATTGAGTAACTTCAATTGAAAAGGAAACTTTAAATTCATTTTGTGCTTTCCCCCTTGTATTTTGTATGACAAGGTAGTTTCCCCCTTGTATTTTCTATGACAAGGTTGTTCCCCTGTGTGTTTTGTATGACAATGTAGTTAGCCCATTCAATAAGTTACAATTATTCAGTGGAACATAGTAAAATAATGGGGCTAAAATTCCTTTCGACCTGATGATTTTTAACTGAAAGTCCCCGCTTTCTGTTTATCAAATCTTTGTCGTGTGGCATATCAAAATGTAACTAATTGAACAAAGAATATGTTTTATTATAAAAGAGCAATAAAAAATTATATAGAGACAGTGTTATGTAAAGGTTACAACAAAAAAAAAAAAAAAAAAAAAAAAAAAAATTAAATTACACAACAAAAAAAAAAAAAAAAAAAAAAAAAAAAAAAAATATTTTAAAAAAAAAAAAAAAAAAAAAAAAAAAAAAAAAAAAAGTTTAAAAAAAGAAAAAAAAAAAAAAAAAAAAAAAAAAAAAAAAGCAATTCTACTCACCAACCCATAAATGAGGTAAGAATAATCCAATAAGACAATTTTTGTAAGCAAATGAGCCTTATTATATATCCACAGTATGAGGAAAGTTTTGTTGCAATAACTCAAGAAATTGCAAAGCTATGAATTTTTTTTCATCATAATAGTCTTGAATAAATTTTCCAAAAGTTAATAATACAATAGAAATAACTATTCCGGTCTGGTACACAAATATTTACACATATTTACGAACTTTATAAACAAATCAGGTCATTGTTTTCATTTGAGTCCAATGAATCATCCAAGCTAATTAATTGGCTTGCTTCTTCAGCAGCCATACATCTAAATCTTGAGTGAGCAGACCTCATATTAGTATTGTTGAAGCCATTTTAATCAGCTGATGTTTGTTTACAATTTTTAGAATACAATTTTTTCAACATGAAAAAACTAGCAAATAATACGCAAAACGTAGTACAATCCAATAGAGAATTTACAGAGAGGAAGTTGAAACTCTTCCGAATAAAAGTTTCGAAAGCTATAGATAAAATATTTGACTGTAAAAGTTAAAACACTAAAGGAATGAAACAAACCAGCAATGATGCACTCTGCAGCGAAACGTATTCAGCAGAAATCGGGGTGATGCACACTGCGGCGAAACGTATCGAATGGGTTAATGAAAAAGTTCACCAATAAATACAAGTATATTTATCTGAAAGAACATTGCTTCTAGTATCTCAAAAACTTGATTTTATGATAGATTGAACAATTTATGGTGCATTAGATTGGGTTGAATTCAGAAGTTTAGAAGTCAAAATTTACTCACCCTGTAAAGGTCAAAGTCATTATTAAAGTAAATGATATGAAAGAAAATTCTTTTCATACCATATTCTCTCAGAAAATGTATAATTTGTAAGGGTCTCTGAAACCATTTAGTATGGCATTTTTTCATTTTTGACAAATGTATGAAAATAAAACCAGAAAAAAGCACTTAAAGGTTTAACACCACTTCAGCATTTTGCAAAAATTATTGTTAATTCATGAGCCGGTACAATGGATTCACGGTGGTCAAAGATGAGCCGGTACAATGGGTTCACAGTGGTCAAAGATGAGCCGGTACAATGGGTTCACAGTGGTCAAAGAGTTAAACGTTGGTCACTTATATCAAGTCACCCAAGTTAGAGTGCAGGTAAGACATTGGACAGTTAAACATTGATTAGTGTTTACAAAGTCAACCATATAAATATATACATTTATCGTGCAACATGAGATTTATTTTGGAAGATATACAATTTTGACTTCACTGAAACAATTGTCAATGCTCAAATATTAATTTTTTTTTATTGCTGTGGTCAATTAGGCAAAATTGGTTTTACTGGCTTGCTTGCAATAACTGCCGTTCTGCTGCTGAGGATTTTCACATTTATTTTAAGATTCCTACAGGTGTAATCTCAAAATACAATTCCACTAACATACACCTGTGACAGTACATGTGACAGTACAAGTGACAGTATATGTGACATTTTCATTGTTTCTAATAATGGATCAGTGACTATAATTTGATCTTTGGATTTCTGTAATTTCATTTTTGTATTTCTTTAATTACATATTTGTATTTCTGTAATTACATATTTGTATTTCTGTAATTTCATATTTGTATTTCTGTAATTTCATATTTGTGTTCTCAGGAGGAAATAAAATTCTGTGTGTGCCCAGAGTTGATGTCAGCCATGTTGTTCATGGAAAACATGGAACACAATGAAGCCATAGCAGTGTCAGGGTTTGAGCAGTTCTCCTGCTACACTGGCTACGCTGACTCCCTGGAGTTTGCTGGTCACTACAATGGGAACACCGCCAACAAGGTATGCCATACTGGACCTAACAATTGATGCGCCGCACCTTCATGTCTTTAGGAGGGTGAGGTATTTTTCAGTGTAATCATCCATATTTGGATGCTGCTAAGTTTATATTAAGAATTTTTTTATTTTTGGGAACATTTCAATCCATGGTTCCTTACCTGTCCATAATTCATTTTACGTTTTCTTTCCGTGAACTGTTCAGCTTCTTAAAACAAATGTACTGTAAATATGTCAGAAAATGATTTTTTTGTCTTGTATATGATCAGACCCACAGGATGGTAGCCATAGACGCCCTCTCCTATAGAGATGTCCCTACCCTGAGGCAGTATGAAGAGACGTTTGTGATGAGGGACCTCAACAAGGCATTGATTGGCTTCTGCAGGTTACCTGCCACTGATGATGGCCTCAGTATGGAGGATGAAGGTTTGAAAATTATTCAACCTTCCATTAACTATCCTTTTCTTCTTCTTTTTTTGACACGTCTTTATTTTTAAACTTATAGACAATGCATAGATAGCAGAATTCTGTCTCCATCCCAAGTTGCCTGCTGGCATAGATAGCTGAATTCTAACTCCATCCCATGTGCCTGCGTTCATAGATAGCTGAAGTCCAACTCCATCCCAAGTTGCCAGCTATCTTCCAACTTTGCTGTTTGAGGATATTTTCAAGTTTCAATCCATAAACGGGCATGATTCCCTTTCTATCTCAGTGGAGTAGCAAAAACTGAGTTTTAACCTCTTTCCTGATTTCAGTGTGCTGCCATTGCTTAAAGGTTAATTCTAACAGTCCCTTGTCGTTGTCAAGCAAACTGAAGTGGCTGCATTATGAATTAGATTTAAAGTCGGTTTTGAAGTTGATTGGTAAAATAGCTATAAATAAGCTATTGATTTATTTAGAGGAAATTTGTAAGTTATTATTTATTCTAAATATTCATTTGAGAGCTTAAGAGTGGACATAAATAGATGATTAGCATGTTTTGCCTGAAGGAAATAGTGGAATAAGGTATGTGGTATGCTTGAACATATAAAGACAGGACAATAAAAGATGAAAATTTCGGCTAAGAGCCTTCCTCGGAAAACAGGAGGAATTAGGAAACAACAAGAAATAGAGAGTTTTTTCAAAAACTTGAGTGTTGGCCATTAATGCGGTAGCCAGAATTTGGCTTTTCCAAGACCAAGAAGTGAAAGAATTCAGGTATCATTACTGAGAAAAATAAGATTTTAAAGGACAAAAATATTTTGGAAATATGTAAACTCTAAGAAAAGAAATAAAGGGAAATTGAGGATCCTCAAATACAGCTTGAATGCAGTCCTGCATTTATTATCCTTTGTCTGAAGACGGTGACAGGCTGGTGCACTTGAATCATTCCTTAAAGGTTTTTTAAAATTGCTTATGCAAAAAAATGCGCCTAGGATTGAAATTCTGGGCTGTTGGCTCTTTCTGTGTGTATGGACTGATGGCTGTGTACATGGACTGTTTGCTCTCTACATAGGCCACTGTTAATGGACTGTTGGCTTTGTACATGGGATGTTGTCTCTATACATGGACTGTTGTCTCTGTTCATGGACTGTTGGCTCTGTACATGGACTGTTGACTCTGTACAAACTACACAACCATTTCTACTACGATCTTATTTGATAAAAGGCTCTTTTTTTTTTTTTCCAGATGGGACTGGAGGGGCAGCAAATGTTGCGATAGATGTCAAAGGAGGGACAGTGGATGTGGCAGCAGGAATGGTGACAAGTGCCATCTGTGACGCCTTTCAAAGAGCATCGGAGGGTCAGCAGCAGTCATTCGTTTTGGACCAAGAACAAACACAGAGACCCTGTGACCATAAGCATCACCAACCTCTGCTTCCTGATTTAAAACCATCATGCCTAGAAGTGGTAGAGACAGCCTCTGAAAAACTACCCGCCACTGCCCTATCAGCCTCTACCAAACCAACCGCCGCCACTGCCCTATCAGCCTCTACCAAACCAACCGCCACCGCTTTTGGACCAAGAACAAACACAGAGACCCTGTGACCATAAGCATCACCAACCTCTGCTTCCTGATTTAAACCCATCATGCCTAGAAGTGGTAGAGACAGCCTCTGAAAAACTACCCGCCACTGCCCTATCAGCCTCTACCAAACCAACCGCCGCCACTGCCCTATCAGCCTCTACCAAACCAACCGCCACCGCTGCCCTATCAGCCTCTACCAAACCAACCGCCGCCACTGCTCTATCAGCCTCTACCAAACCAACCGCCGCCACTGCCCTATCAGCCTCTACCAAACTCACTGCCGCAGCCCTATTAGATTCTTACCAACAGCCAGCTTCCATCTCAGGACTCAATGCAGGGGCAGTCATCCGGGTTTCTTTTGAGTCTCCTTCAACATCATCCCCAGCAGTAGTTGGTGCACCCCAAACGCATGTGCCACATGCTGTTCCCATAGACCCTGGCACTGTATTACCAACATCACCCTCTGTTCATTCCACTGATATCTCAACCACATTTGTTCCCGACCGTATCATTTCTGATCATTGTAATTCTCACCCCAACACAGCAGTTTCTCTTGAGCAGTTGCCGTCGAGCACTTTTGTAACAATAACTCTTGCTTCTCAAGAAACGCCCAGCATGCCCTGTGATATAAACGCAATGCCTAGATTAGAGTCTGACCACGTTGACCAACAGATTCCCACTGCTGGATTTCCTACACCCTTTCACTCAAGTGCCTTGGCTGGTGACTCAGCTGTCAGACATGATTTTCTTGGGATGCGATTAGCAAGTGACATTCTTGGAAACTTAACAAAAATTACTTCAACTGCTGATGGTGCTGAGGCATCACTCCTGCCACACGCCGCTCAAGGTGATGTGCCAGCCACTGGTGCTGAATTTTGTCTTACGGAAAACTTTAGACCAGTAGCTTTAGATTCATATCCAAAAGTGACACATTTTACGATGGAATTGCCCCAGTCGTCCACAGACAGCTTTGATCAGAATCTGTCCCTTCACTTTCACACACAACCTAATGAGGAATACAGTGGGCAAAGTACTACCTGCTGTTTAGATTCACCTGTGGCGATCTCAGAAGAATCAAAATCTCTGCCTTCATTACAAGAGGTGCCGGCCCACCATCCAGATGAGTCGAGGGGCTCACACTCTCCATTAGTTACTGATTCTCAGGACTCCAACAGCCTCATCTCCACGGACATGCTGTATGTTAATGTAGATAATCTTCACCCCAGGAAGCTTAGCATGACAGAAGAATTGGGGACAGCTAGCTTCGACTCGGCCCTGCTTGGGCCACCATCATCTTTGTCCCCCCAGTCATCCTTGTCATCATCCAATGTCTCCCCAAACACCTCTTTCACCCTCCCCACCTACCATCTGCCGAGGAATGGTTCCAGCGATGTCCATGTCACTGCAGACTTTTTTATCCCTGATCTCGACAATCTGGCCGAGCGATTCCCACAACAGCAGCGGGGCTCACGAGACTTTTATGGAGAGCTCAGGGAGTTCCTTAGCTCTTCCAGCTCAGGGACAAGGAGCTCAGGATCTGGTGGTGGGCCAAACTCAAGCTCCAATTCCACATGGGGTTCAAGGTCAGGGTCTATTTCCTCCCATGGCACTAACGGGTCCAGCAATGACTTCATGGAGTTTTGGAACCACTTGAGACGTAGGAGCTCTCAATTTAGTGACACCACATCGAGGAGGTCGAGTTCAAGTAAACACAGCTCAGATTTCAGCACTGACCTTGAAGTAAGAAACTATTCTTATCACTTCATCAATTTTTTTTTTAATTCATAAGATATCAATGCTTTAACAGCATTATCCAATTTGATAAGTGCACGGTATTTGTGGATTTGATAAGATCATATTTCCTTTTTATGTTGTGCAATTTATGTTTATCATAGACTTGTATTTATTTAGCCATCTTAACCTTTAATGTCATTCTCTTAAAAATATCAGTGTATTCATTTTATTGTTTCCTGGTTTTGGAACTGGTCAAATTAAAAAAGTTTATAATAATATATCACAGGTTCAAAGCCCATTGAGTTTGGGGGTCTTGGGCTGAAGAAAAAAAAAAGTAAAAAAATTATCTAGTATTTAAATTTTGCTTAAATTTTAATTGCAGCATATATTATGATAATTATCTATGAGATCCACAACAGTAAATTGCTTCTGTGTTTGGTTTTGTTGAGTTAAAAGTTTATTTTAGAAATGTTTATAAAAAGCAATATTCTTTTACTTTCTTTTTTTCTCTCCCTTTTTTATCATGTATTAGGCTTGACACAAAGATACAAATGACACTTATTTATCATGTATTAGGCTTGACACAAAGATACAAATGACACTTATTACTTTAATTAGTTTTATAATCAGCTGATTAATTAGATCAAGCGACACCTCAACTTTTTATCTTCAACTTTTGATCGTATGGGTTTTAGATATCTAACAACTTCGCTTGTGCGGAGTTTAAACACACCTTAGTTTTATTCCCCTTGTGTCTTTCGGCTCATTTGTGATCTCCATTTCTACTGCACAAATGTCATTTGGCTCATTTGTGATCTCCATTTCTACTGCACAAATGTCATTTGGCTCATTTGTGAACTCCATTTCTACTGCACAAATGTCATTTGGCTCATTTGTGATCTCCATTTCTACTGCACAAATGTCATTTGGCTCATTTGTGATCTCCATTTCTACTGCACAAATGTCATTTGGCTCATTTGTGATCTCCATTTCTACTGCACAAATGTCATTTGGCTCCTTTTTGATCTCCATTTCTACTGCTCAAATGTCATTTGGCTCATTTGTGATCTCCATTTCCATTGCCCAAGTGTTAGTCCAAACAACCTTAGCCTAGTAAGCAAGTATTATTATTCACATGGGTACTTCTGTTTGAAACAGCTTACTTTTCACTTCTGGGGGTGCTGCACTGCAGGCGACTCGATTACATTTGTGTTTTTATGATTGTATTGGTTTTTATGTATTTTTCCTTTGAAATAAAGGAGTGGTGAATGTATTTGGTATTCACCTTTTTATTTTTTTTATCATCAATGACAGCGTTTAAATGGAATTTGGAACAAATATTCACATTGTCATCTTGGAAACAAATGAATCTGCCATCTCGTAAACAAGTGGCGGAATTGAAACAACCAACCAAAGACAAATCAGCTGCAGACATTATGATTATCCATGATCTTGACAAAAAGCCCAGACTCATTTAAAAATGCCAACATACACCACACACATCACAGTTAATCAGACCACGCAGTGGCTCACCTGTTGCCTTGAAGAATCTGACAGCCCAATGTTCAGCAAACAGTTGGGCACAGCATTGAAGAATCTGACAGCTCAATGTTCAGCAAACAGCTTGGTACAGCCTTGAAGAATCTGACAGCATAATGTTCACCAAATGGCTTGGTACAGGCCAAGTTTAAAAGGAACAACAAAAACTCAAAGAAAGACTTTCAAGTTTGTGCAATGTAATAAAAAAACAAACAAGTTTCCATTTATTTAGATTATTTATTATTATTCCAATAAAAGCATCTTATCTTTTCTTATCTTATTTTAGATCAAAGGTCTTTCCTGTCCGTCACCATGTTAGAAATAATAATATTATATCAGTCTTATTTTTATCCTCACCTTTAGTTGAAGCTGTCCCACTTCTCCCTGTAAGGGGACTGTTCACTTTGAGAACCACTGAACTAAAGGTATACAAGGGTGTAAAATATCCTTCACGAGGAAAAAACATAATTATTGACGTCTTTATTTAAAAAAATTTTTTTTTTTATCTAGGAAATCTCAGAGAGCCTACAGAAACATTGCCATGGTGTGATTGAGGAAGAAGGAGGCATCTTGACCATGCTGACAGACTACGCCTCTCAGATGGTTACTTCAGCTGTGAGAAATGGAGTAGCTACCGGAGTCAACACGCTGGCTCAACCAGGCCACCAATTTATTCTCACCGGCAGCCAGGAAACCTCTGAAATGGGCTTGCTCGGCGAGCCAGGCAATGTCCCAAAGAACGCCAGCTCTCCACCAAGACACAGGAAAACATTCTCCAGGGCAGGGACTTTAGTGAGGCAAGAGAAGGTTAACCTAGAAGTCGATGACGCAGAATGTAAGATCATTCCTGGCCTCGAAGAGGAGTCCGAAAGAGATGAGTACCCTCAGGCACAGGACTCGCCGCCAAAAATTTTTTATGATTTTGACTTGAGATCAACGCAGCTACCAAATGAAAACTTGAGTTTGAAATCAAGTCAGCAACCAAATGAAAACTTGAGTTTGAAATCAAGTCAGCAACCAAATGAAAACTTGAGTTTGAAATCAAGTCAGCAACCAAATGAAAACTTGAGTTTGAAATCAAGTCAGCTACCAAATGAAATCTTGAGTTTGAAATCAAGTCAGCAACCAAATGAAATCTTGAGCCCAACGGTGGAAATCACCGTTGTTTTTTCTGCTCCCATTCCAACTTCAACAAAACCATCTTATTCAGCACCAGGGTATTCTGTTCTGTATTCCAGAAATCCTGGGAAAGGATCCTGCCTACAAAGTGCAGATTCGGGTTTTGTGTCTATCCAGTCATCTGTGGCATCCATGTCAAGCTCTAGAGATTTCCATGCTCCATCACAAGGTGTCATAGCTAGTGACCCACCAGGCATCACAGCCAGCGACCTACCCGGAGTCTCAGCCAGTCACCTGCCAGGTGACACAGCCAGTGTCCTACCAGGCATCACGGCCATTGACCTGCCAGGTGTCACCATCAGTGGCCAACCAGGTGTCACAGCCAGTGGTGACATGACAAGAAAGTCGGATGAAACCACCAGCTCTGCACCTGAAGCTGACCAGTCTAAAACTTGTGACATTCCAGTGTTCAAACCTGAAGTCACAGCACATCATAAATGCCTGGCTCACGACAAGGTGCCTGAAATAAAAAAAGACAGCGCTGCCGCTAGTTCCACATCCACCATTTCAAAGCCTAGTATTTCTGTTCATTATGTTAACATGCCTCAAGAGGCTGTAAAATTTGATATGAAACAGTCTTCAACTCAGAAGATCCACCGTACTTCTCATGTAGCAAGGGTTACCTCCCATGGAACCACTAAAGAGGTTCCCCCAAAATCAATCAAGCATGGCACATTGAAGACACCAGAGTGGCCAGCCGCCCGTTCGAAGCAAACCAAGGTGCCCGAGCCTTCCGAGAGAGATGCAGAGGCCGTGTCTGCCAGCTCTACAGAGTCAATCCCTCATCTGTCCAGCGGCGCCAGTGGACCCACCAAGTCTTCAGGCATCCCTAAGTTTAGAAGCCCATCAAAGAAATCGTGCGATCCTACCAAGTGCTTGGTGCCTGATTATTCTCATGGCAGGAGCAGGCAAGCAGATAAATCTGATGTGCTGCCATGTTCTGCCGACAGGGAGAAAGTCAAGATGTGCAAGAGCAAAAAGCAGAGTGCACGGGAGCGAGATGAAAAGCTGTTCAGGGCACACAGAAGTCGGTACGTCTTCTCTGATGTGGCAGCACCACCTCGGGAAAGGAGGTCACGGCACCTCAAGGAATCCACACCTGAATCCCCACACAAGAGGCACGGCAGGGGAGGTTCCAAGAAGAATGAGGAAAAGAGGCGGTCCAAGCACGCAGAAGAACCTGTAAAAGAGCAAGCCAGAGACCTCACAAAATCACCCCGATTTATTCGCTTTGTCAACACCCTGGCAGAGATGTCGTTGAGTCAAGCTGTCCTAGAAGGTGCTGAGATAGTCTCCCAGACACCATTTTTTCAAGAGGAAATTTCAGACGAGGTATACAATTGGTTTGCTAATAAAATCATCACTGAAGTCTTTTTCCACGTGATCACAGAGCTTGAAAGCCGTGATGATGACCAGGACCAGGACAGGCATGCCTCCTTGCATCTTGAGGAGATTGGAGCTTCTGGGGGAGTGGACAGCCAGGCAGACTCAATCCTGCAGCCTCTGGGAGCTAGTGCAAGGGACAGTATTGCCGATGAGGCAGGGTCCGCCCGGCCAAAATCTAAAGGTATTTTACCATCAAAATCTGACACGGCCGCCTCTGGTGTCAGTTTTAAGTCTGCGACGGGGCTGCAGAGGTCTTCTGGTTCTTTGAAAATGGTTAAATTTAAAGAAGGTGTTGAAGAAGATACAGGATGCTCTTCATCCAAACTAGCACATCCTCAGGTTTTGTACACTAACCATTCAAAGGCAACAGCATTCCAGAGAATGGCCAGCAGCATTCCTGTTCCAGTGAGGAGAAGAAGCAGTTTAGATCTTCCCCTGACATCACCCCCTACCTCAAGGACCACTGGCGATCTCTCAGCTTTTCACATGGCAGCGCCGCTGCAGCCTGTCAATGTGCCCGGACAGAGGCGGAGAAGTTTGACAAATGCAGACTTGTCTCTTGATGCTTACCAGGCAGCTGCATCCATTGTTAGCCAAGTTTTCCAGACCATTTCAGACAGCATGGATGTCCAGGCTTTGAGTCCAGGGTCCTCCTGCTATCATGGGACCATTTCCTCATCTGATACAGGTGCTCATTCCACAGGTAAGACTTGACTTTTTTTATCTGATGGTTGGCATGGCTCTTTTTAAATGGCTGAAACTTAGCATCTGAATTGCTTTGAGCACTGGGGTGTTGTGATAAGATCGGGGTCGACTGATGCAACTCACAATTCATGTGTACAACACAACCACCACTTGGGACATACCCACAATTATGATTCTTATTACTAGACCAGAGATCCAAGACTGGTGAACGAGTGAGATTTCTACATCTGACTTTAACCTTTACAGAAGAGCCTTCACTAGCCATTCAGCACATATTTAGCCAAACCCAGTGGATAGAATGGCTTAATATTTATTTATCTCTAACCCAGTCTTTCTTTAATCTGGGTAAATGCATGAATTAATTTGATAACCCAGGGAGGACTGGTACTAATGATAATTTATTATATAGTGCTTGGGCATCTTAAGCTTCTCTTTGTTGTTGTTGTAAACCAATGAGGATCAGTTTGTTTAATGAAACATAAACCATTTGTGTCAATGAAACAAAATAGGTTAAGCTTTAATAAAAGTTACACTTAAAATAAATGCAAACGTTTTGGCAAATGCCTTCATAGGCACAACAGAAGAAAGAAATTTGTATAAGCATAAGTTAAATGTCAATTATATAAAGATATATAGAAATCCTAGCTGAACATAAAAGAAAAAGAATGTGAAAAGGTACAAGTCACTAACAAGAACAAAGCTCATAAAAACAGAGAGGGAAGTGGGTGGAAGTAAAATTATAAAAACCAAGCAGGAAAAAGGTGCTACAGCTGTGTACAATGGTCAATTTGGTTTATACCCTATGGGGTCAAGTTACAGAGTCAGCTTAGAAATCCTTTGAGGCTTGTGCTTAGTCCATTTCTGCGACAAACCAGTCAGACCAATTAAAATCCATAATAATAAAAGCACATCTGTATGTAGGCCACAGGGTGACAGATTGCCAGCATCCGGAAATTTGTTTGAATGAAAGTTCGTCAGAAAATTGATTGAACGGAAGTTTGGTCTAATCTTTTTTCTAGTTCACACCTTAAAATTTTACGACAAATTTCTTTTTGACGAAAACTTGATCCTGTGAACTGAAAAAAAGATTAGACCAAACTTCCGTTCCAACAAATTTTCATTGATCAATTTTCCGTCTAAGAAATTTCTTTCAAACAAATTTCCGGTAACCCAGATTGCCAGTTGAGAATTACAATTTTTAAAAGACATTGACTTGAAATGTATTGTTTCAAATAGATTTTTATTGATAAAATGGAAGGAAATTCTAGTTCAGTTTATAAAAAACCATAAAACCATTTGTTTACAATACATATCATCAAACTTTTAGTTAGATTCACGCCTAGTGGGATGTGTTGACCAAATTTTATTTGATTTTATCGTATGTGAACGAGAACATGGTATCAGAGAGTTTAGTAGAGTTCTAACAATAGAACTTAAATTAACATTACATTTTTTTTCCCAGGAAGTAGAATTCACAGTCACTACGACAGCTTCGCCTCCAATATCTTCTCAAGTTCATCAACCAAAGCTTCAGAGAGCCCTCGTCGGGCTCGTCGATCTGTCTCCCCGAGCATCGGACTTTTCTTCAGGAAGCCCATGAGTCGTGAAACGCTGACTAACGCTTACTTGAAAGTTGACCACAGCCCACAGATCAAGACCTACGAACGGCGCAGCAGTGAACCGTGTCAGACGAGCGTCACACTCTCCCTCCAGGCTTTCAACAACAACAAGTTCAATGGCAGGACCGTTGAGGAGAAGATGAAGAAGCTGTCCAGGACGGATGATGACATCGGGTGCGGGAAAACATGGCGCAGGGGCTCACTGGACGGCTACTCGTTTGATCAGAGAAGAAACTCGTGTGGATTCAAAGACCCGGTCCTGTCCAGGTTTGCTGAGGAGCTAATGAAGGCAGACACATCGGTGCCAGAGCTGGTCATAGTTGGTTCACATGCAAGTTCATCTTCAACAGGTCAGTGCCATTAAAGTTTCTTTTTTTTACATTAAAAACAATGAAAATGTCATTCATTACATTTAAGCAAAGTGTCATTCATTATGTTCAAGTTTACATTTTTGTGAAAGTAAATTGGATTGGATGAAATTGAGTGATTCATATGCATAGATTAGAACTTGTGAATATTTATTTTTTTGAGAATTGTAGCTCCTCTCTGTAACATATTTTGTCATCAGTTTGATAAACTTTCTTCATGTCTAACCATTATTTTGTCATCATTAACTTGTTAGGCTCAAGACGAAGCAGTGTCAGTGCATTTCGAGATTCTACCCTGGCTAACCTGGAAAATGAGCTACTCAACACAAGTTTCACTAGGTCAGTCAGACAACTTGTTTTTTTGTGTTTTTTTTTACACTTTTGACTTCTTTCTTTCAATCCTAATTTTTAATTTAAATTGTAAACACCAGCTTGGTATTTTAATGCTCACATTGTAAACAACGGGCCACTAGTTTTGTATTTTAAGAATAATATCACAGATCTTGTTCCGCTATTTCCTTGGTTTTTAATGTTAAGACGAATCATCCACCTATTGATGATTAAAATAATGTCGTTCCCCCCCCCCCTCCCCCCCCGCCCAGTGCCTGCAGCATGTCCCAGTCATCAAGGTCACACCGGAGACACCCACAGCTGGACAGATCTCGCAGCCGTGACTCCAGGCAGGGCAAGTCCGACAGTTCGGAGACCGAGTACTGGTTCCCACCGCCCAAGTTTGTAGGGGATGAATTTCAACTGGAGTATAACAGACAGCACAGCCAGGAGGAGTTGCAGGTAGGGATCTTTAACATAATCTATGCTGTGCTGCAGGTAGGGACCTTTAACATAATCTATTCTATGCTGCAGTTAGGCACCTTAAACATAATCTATTCTGTGCTGCAGGTAGGGACCTTTAACATTATCTATTCTGTGCTGCATGTGGAGCACTTCTATAGAATCCGTCCTGTGCTAGCCTAAGTACATTTGGGGCCCATTTCTAGCTGTTAAATTTCAGTAGGTTAGATCAGGTGTAAAACTTAAGCATTAAATTAATGTGATGATACTACAGCTGACCAACGTATAAAGTAACATTGAAGGAGTATTCGTAGGATTAATGCAGTGAAAATAACTCCTTCATAATGTAATTTAAAAACTGATTTTTCTGTTTAGGACTATGCCAGCTATTTTGCTGGTCGTGTAGTTCAAGAGGCCGTGTGTGTGCTCCGATGTGACCCAGATTACATGAGCAGGGAGGAGCAGGATGTGGACATGTTTGCCGAGAACCTTACGGACCAGATAATGCGGGACGCACTGATGGCCACCGTCCACACAGACAGCTCCGGCTGCCCCACTGACACCAGCGGCAATAGCGGCAGTGAGGAGAAACTGATGTCTGCCCTGTGGTCGATGTCAACATCCAACAAGCCTGGACAGGGCGGCGTGTGCGGACCTCCAACATCTCGTGCACATTCGAAACCCAGAAGCATTCCACAGAGAAAGGATTCAGTTCCAGACATATCCGGGAAACCCCATTCCTCCTATAGCCACAGGATAAGGTTTGGTCCCAGCGGTGAAAGGAGGACATCATCTTTCAGCGTTCCCCCATCACAGCAGTACCTTCATCCTGCATTCAAGCCCTCCTCTGAAGCTTGGGGGGGTGCTAGACCTAAGAGCTCTCGCTCCAGTCAAACTGCTGAGTCATATGTGACACCAACTCAAACCAAAAGACATTCCTCACCTTCACCTTTTCAGTTTTGTTCATCTTTGTCTCACACCTCGCCATCAACTTTACAAGTGCCATCAAAAATGTCCCATCGCCAGTACCTCAGTCTTGAAACGAGGAGCAAGTCAGAGTCAGGGCCCAGGTGCTCCAACAGACATCTTATTGAAAGTCAGCAATGGGTAAGGTATTTTACATGTCCTATAGACAACTTAGTGAAAGTCATTATTAAATAAGATATTTTATATGTCCAACATACGTGTAAGTGAAAGTCAATATAAATGAAAGGACTGCTTTCAAGCTTAGTAAATGAATGAAATAGCGAAATGGATACTGCTTGAGTTGTCTACTGTGCTCTTTTCTTTGTTATATTTTCATTTCTATTGTTGGCTGAGAAAGGCTTTAAGCCGAAACGTCCTTGTTTTTTGTCCTATTATCTTATTTCAAGCTTCCACATACCTCGTTTCATTCATAAGTGAAAGTCAGTATTGTGTAAGGGAGACCTGGCCCCACATAGCACTCACTTTGCGGCCCGCGAAGTAGCGAAATATTCTTTATTATTATTATTTTCTTAATAGCTTTCAGATGGCTAATTGGCCCTCTTCCTATCAACCTAGCGAGCTGAAACTTGGCACATAGACTCGTTGCCGATGACAACACATTCTTTCAAATTTTCAGCACCACCGCCCAACCCCAAAAATCAGTTTTCCCTGATTTTCAAGGGGAAGATAAAGGAAATATGATGACACTGATTTCACGAAATAATATTCCAGATAACATTCTTTGAAAAAAATATTGCAAGTGCGTTTGGTGCCTAATATTTTCTTTTGTTTTTCTGATATAGTTGGTGAAAAGAATTTGCGGTGCAAAAGCGTGTGGGTTATTAGAATTTTAATATAGTTCAGGGGCATGAAAAGAAAAATGTGCTGGTGGGGGAGCACTAATTGTTATAAAGTGCGTTACTTGAATGCGTGCGTTACTTGAATGCGTGTGTTACTTGAATGTGTGTGTTACTTGAATGTGTGTGTTACTTGAATGCGTGTGTTACTTGAATGCGTGTTTTGTGGAATTTTCCGGCGGCCGCGGCTCCCACCCCCAATTGCGCCATAATACATTTTATAAAGGAATTATATGAACAACTTTTTTTTAGGGTTGTTTAATTCAAATATGTCTCTTAATCTCTCTGCTGTAAAATAAGATTTTTATATATGATGTTTAAAATGGATAATTATTTTTTCTGTGCCACAGAAAAAGCCTTTGAGGAAAAAGAAAGCCGAGTCCCATGCCAGTGTCAGCTCAGCAGAGCTTGGATCAGATGAAACCTGCTCTTCTCTTCTGTCATCATCCTCTTCATCTTCCCTCTCAGCATCATCCTCCTTGGAGAGTATTGGCCCGGTCAGCCATGCAGACACATGCTCTTCTCACATTCCCACAAAACGGGCGCAGCAGACCGGTCATTCTGGGCCACAGCAGCCGTCCAATCCTCAGGCAAAGAGAAGGCGAGAGGAGAAGTCTGATGGCCGGGCAGAGGATACAGGGGACTTAGGTCAGAGTGTCGAACAGTTTGCGGACAATCTCTGCAGTCATGTTGTAACAGAGGCCCTGCAGCAGTGCAAGAAGAACAAATGGCTTCGGGTGAGTGCTTTCTTCCTCTTCACATTCAAACTGTGAAGATCCAGGATGGTTGTCCTTGGCAGATATTTGATATCTTTGGGTTTTTTGGACACTGTGGTACCTCTGCTTACTGTGACACAAATTATGTCAATGCATGGAGCCGTAAAGTAAGGCAGATGCTTTTTTGAACGTATTTTACCTCCTCCCCGCCGTCACAATCTGTCACAAATCTGGGACCTCCCTCCCAAAAACAGGTCACACTTTCAAACTAAAACTTTAAAAAAAATTTTAACAACTAAATTTAGATTGATTTTTATTTTGTTGTTAAACACATTTCACTATTAAACTATTTAATTTATAAAAGTGACATCTTCTGTCAGAATACATCCATCACAATAGAAAGCTAAACATCACTGTCAATTTCAGGTTTTATAAGCATGATAAAAAATATAGTAAATGTGTGATGTCACATATGATCTTTATGTTTTACTCTCTCAAAAATTGAAATACCATTTTAGACCCCCCTCCCTGCCTCCAGAACCTGATATACTTTATGGATGCCCCCCCACCCCCTCCCCCCCCCCCCATGATATATGAAGATGGTTAGACTGCAGCCGCAGAGCTGATTAACAGTGGGTGTACATGTTTGGTTCTGATTAAAAGACAGTGTTCCCATGCCAAAAAGCATGCCCTCTCTTTGCTGGGGCGCAACTCATAGCACGTTCAATTGCGGTGCTAAAAAGCACACTGTGCGCTGTTTGAGTATCATGGTTGTTTCTTTACTATTTCTCGGTTAAACTTTTTAAGAGCTATTTTTTAATTAGACTCTTACATTGAAGAGTGGTACTTCATTGTTTATAAGCAAAACCAAGGTTTATTTTTTTGTCATTTGAAGCAATATTTTATGAATATTCTTCGCTGATTTTTATTTTTATCAATACTGTTGTTGTGGCTACCCATGGCCCTAATTGGGTGAGTAAGTTTCCTAGATTAACAGCCCAAAAAGCTTTGGAAATTTTTCAATTTCTTCTATAGTGAAGTTGATTTAGATTTAAATCCATCGCATGATACCAATATTAGTAGTTTTAGATGATTTGAGTTATAATCATGAAGATTGTATGGTGAAAAAAAAAAGGTTTTGCATATCATGTTTTCTTATTTTAAGTTTCTTTTTGTTACTTAGTTTAGTTAATTCAATTCAATTATCTTTCATTTGATACCAAATTTAGCCTTATAAACCAAACAATATTATTTGAAATATTTTTTTAAGAAACCCAACCTCTCACTCTTTTTTGCTCTAGGATAAAAATGTTCATTTTTTTTCATAAAAAAAAACTCTGCATCGAAAGAGCTAACACTGAACTGGTTTATCTATGTCCTTAAATGTTTCCATGCGAATAATCTTGCCTCTCTATGACTGAACTGGTTTATTGGTTAAAAACTGGATGTTTTTTGGGGTCTTGTTTCAGTTTTTGTCTTACCAGCGGCCCATAGCCACAGGGAACTGGGGATGTGGTGCTTATCAGGGCAATCCTCAGCTCAAATTTGTCATGCAGTGGATTGCTGCAAGTGTTGCCAGGAGCCCACTCTTGATTTATTACTCATTTGGTGATCCGGCTTTGACACAGGTAAATTGATGTACCGAAATATTATCAACAGTTTTATTTTATGATCAGACATTGACATAGGTAAATTGTTGCGCTGAGTTATTATGAAAAATTGACACGTGTAAATTGATAGACTGAGATATTATCAGACATTGACACAGTTAAATTGATGGACTGACATAATATCAGTCGTTGACACAGTTAAATTGATGGACTGAGATATTATCAGACATTGACACAGTTAAATTGATGGACCGACATATTATCAGACATTGACACAGTTAAATTGATGGACTGACATATTATCAGACATTGACACAGTTAAATTGATGGACTGACATATTATAAGACATTGACACAGTTAAATTGATGGACCGACATATTATCAGACATTGACACAGTTAAATTGATGGACTGACATATTATTAATAATTTCATGAGTGAACACAACATGGTTATTATTATGACCCCAAAGCTGGGAATGACCCCAGACAAAAATGCAACAGTAAAGTACAAATAATGTTTCAATGGTCCTATGATGCTATAGTGATGGATTAATAATAAAGTGATGATATTGTGATGGATCACCTTAATAATAAAGTACAGATGGCCCTACAACTAAAATGATTTAAGTTGAAGAGCTATACCTATTTATTGGTTATAAAAATCATGGCTGCTTTCAATCTGTTGTTCTCTTCCGATGAATCTCAAGGTTCAGGATGTGACCAATATGATGTCGGGGCTGACGGTCGGTCAGCTTGCGTCCACCCTCAGGGAGTACTGTAACTGGGTTTGTTTTCACTCAACGCCATCCTCGTTATCATCGTCCCCCCGCTCCTCATCAAAAACGTCAATGGGATCTCATTTACCATTGGGATCTCATTCACTTTGGCAAGATCAACGAAACTCACAGCTTCCCCAGCCACTTTTTGATTTTCTTTTGGAAAAGTTTTCACAACAGGATGCCAAGAGATGACCAGAATTCCTGCATGTGTAACAACGGGAGGCCAAGAGATGACCAGAATTGTAGCATGTGTAACAACGGGATGCCAAGAGAAGACCAGAATTCTTGCATGTGTAACAACAGGAGGCCAAGAGATGACCAGAATTGTTGCATGTGTAACCACATATTGATGGATGAACTTTCATGTCAAGGTCAAGGGTCAACATTGATGTGATAGGCAAAGGTTAACATTGATGTGATAGGCAATGGTTAATATGGATGTGATAGGCAAGGGTTAACATGGATGTGACATAGATTGATTAACATTGTCAATACATTTATGACATGGGAGGTTATACAAAAAATGGAACCCAATAATGTGATAATGTTTAGTAGTTCAGATCTCCCTCCACCTGGCAGTTTAGACCCCCAAATCAACTGGCAGTTTAGACCCCCAAATCAACTGGCAGTTTAGACCCCCAAATCAACTGGCAGTTTAGACCCCCAAATCAACTGGCAGTTTAGACCCCCAAATCAGCAGTCAGCCTGTCACACATTTCAGCGGTCAGTGTGTCACACATTTCAGCACCCCACATCTGTCACAGATTTCAGCAAATGGCTGTCACACACCCAGCCCCCAGGTGCCCCTTTTGTTGTCCCTCTAAGCTGTGTCCATCTCACCTTCATTTGACCACAACATCATTTGATTTATGCAAGAACATTGGTTTTAAAATAAGCCAATGTTTCATGAAACAATCTGTTTTTTTCAAAAACAGACCATGTCATGTTAAGCACTAGTTTGAGAACCCCAAGAGGATGTTTTATAATTGTTTGAGCAAATGTTTATAATCATATTTTATTAAAAATGATATTACTACAATGTAACTTGAGCTTGTGCTAACCACATGTGGTCAACTCGGCACTTACCACATGTGGTCAACTCGGCACTTACCGCATGTGGTCAACTTGGTACTTACCACATGTTTTATAAAATAAGTTTAGGTCAAGTTATTGTTTACCCAGTGTTTATCACAGACAGAATGAATGCTGCATATTAGCACCAGATAATATGAATGCTGAATACTAGCACAGATGGTATCAATGCTGCGTACTAGCACAGTATAATTGCTGCATGCTAGTATCAGAAGCATTGCATAATTTTATATGTTATAGAAATGGGAGTTATTCTCTTGACAAGAAGATGGCACATCTGTGTAAATTTTAAGATAAAAGAGGGCATAGATGTGCACGTTTAATGATAGAATAGGGCATAGATGTGCAAGTTTTATGATAGAAGATGGTATAGATGTGCCATTTTTATGAGACAAGAGGGCTTAGAAGTACAAGTGTCTTTGTGTGACACATTATTCAATCAATTGTTATCAATAAAATACATCAGAGTGATAAGCTGTCATGTAGAGCTGAGAGCTTTTATTTGTCACCCTTGACGTCATAATGGATGAAGCCTGCGCAATTTTGAGTTCCTTCTTTATTATGTAATACACAGTTTAAGTAAACTGAATGAAGTAAATTTGTATATTGTTTGAATTTGTGTATGTTTTCATCTTGAAAGAATAGCTAGTAAATAGCCTTGGATTTTTAACATGTATTTCTGGTTTAAAAAAGGGGAGCTCATTGGTAAAATGTGGTTACTGGATTTTCAACCTCTGTGTGATTATTTAAGCTCTTATCTAAACCTTGTGTGTTCTTGTCCAACCATTGCATTGCCACAGTAGTGCACTTTGGCCAAGGTTTTTGCTTCTGTATAAATGTCCAAGAATTTTCACCTACTCTGTGTCCTGGAATATTATTCAATCAAATAAGTCAAACTGCAGCCAAATAATAAACAATTCAAATCTGGTGATACCTATATTAACTTATACTTGAATCCCCTGGGCTTGTCATTTTAATATGTGATATTTTTTTATTTTTTTTTGAAGTTAATTGAAATTTGTCAAAATTGACTTTCTAGTCTTTTAACTGATAGTATCATTGATGGAAATGCACGATCTCTAAACATGATTAATTCATAGTATTGACCCTTCGTGTGCCAATATTTATACTGCTTTGTGCATGAGCTGCAGTACTGTCAGTGGGGGAGCAGAAGTGGTGGCCGCTCCCTCCAGCGCTGTCAGTGGGGGAACAGAAGTGATGGCCGCCACCCTCCTGAAACCATTTTCCCAAAAGTGGGGCCTTTTCAAGGATATACATTCTTTTTCATATTGTCAAAGAAAAAAAAAATTGTTGTTAAACTTTTAAATGTTATTATTGAACATTTCTGGAAATGAACATCCAAAACTACTTAAGATGACTTTAAGGAGATAGAAAAATGAATGCTTTATTTCATCCCAACTTAAGGGAGGACACATCTCACCATAATATTTTGGTAAAGATTTGACAAAAAAAACTGGTCATGTTTGATTGATAGCTTGCTATTTTGGCTTCTTGTAATACCTTTGTAATTTTAATGGCTGAAGATTTCTTATTTTTCAAGTATACATTTATTACTTATAACAAACCAATAAAATTTTCCTCTGTTTATTAAAGTGTAATGATTGACCTTTGCTACTGCACTCTAATTGGGCTGATTTTTTTAATGACAATATTTATCATTTTTTACCTTTTAATTTTCTTGATGTATTTTTTAATGATCACTGTTGTACTGTCTTTTGAGATTTTTCAAAAAAAAAAATTATTTATATCAAAATTTAATGAATTAATTGTTCATCTGTTTTTTTTTTAATCTGCTTCTATTCTTATGCTTTGCTTTTCAAATCAAATATCCCTTGTTGTGTTTGCCTCAAGTAAAATCTCAATTTTGTCAGTGTTTGATATTTCCAGCTCAATCCTGCAAAATTAGTTATTTAAATTTTAAGTTTTCATTGACATTTTTTTTTTACATTGGTTGGTTGTGTGAGATTTCTGTATAGTTTACTTTGTCTGTGTGAGGTTTATTTCTGTATAGTTTACTTTGTCTGTGTGAGGAAATTGACACATAAGACAGACGCTGCTCATAATGATCTAACTTTGCCGCCGCTGCTCATAATGATCTAACTTTGCCGCCGGTATGAGATTTTTGCCACGTGTGTGTGTGGGGGGGGGGGGGGGGCAGCCAGCATGTACATTTGACCCCACTCTTAAGTTTCCTTTTAATAGCTTAAATAATTCTGGAGTAAGAATCTCAGTGTTGGAGTAAAAAAATACTTTGCTGTCTGAGATAGACAATGTTCTTCTCTGTACCTGTAGCTTCCTATCACATTTGACTGTAACAGTAGCTCCCTATCACACTACACGGTAACTGTAGTTTCCTATCACACTTCACTGTAACTTGTAGCTTCCTATATGAAGTGTTTATTGTTACAAGTGAACACAGAAATATGAAACTTGTGAATGGGAACGAAACTGACACTTGACATTACCCACTGACATGTGACATCATCCTGATACATGACATCACACATGACATCCTGGGGGTGTTTAACACATTACATAACACATGACATTACCTACTTCAGAATAATAATATTCATTTTTTTCCCCTGACCTTGAAAATTCAAGTAATGTTTTATCATGACTTTGAGGAGAGTGTTAGACTAGAAATTTAGCCAAATATATATTTGATTATTTTAACGCCACACTTTACCTTTTTTTGGACAGCCCCCGGCCCACTTTTCCCATCCTCTGTTTAGTCCAAATTTTTATTAGACCCCCATAAAAATGTCAAAATTAAATCTGGGGTCCATGAAGCTATTTCAGTGGTCAGCTAAGGGGCCATCCATATACAACGTACACAAAAAAGGGCAAATTTTCGCCGCTGCCGCCGCCCCCCCCCCTGTTGCGTTGCAAGCGCATGTGTTTTACAATCAAATTACTTATACACAACTAAGACGTCAAACACAACTAAGACGTCAAAGTAAAAAATGTGTCCCGAAGGTTCCCATTAACTGCACCACGTGACCCTGGGGTGCAGCCTTGCCGAAAGTTCAAAAGAATCTTGGAACCACTGGCGTTCCGCACCTTGAACATGCAAAAGGGTCAGGGATGACACGCTATTTCGGCAGATTTTAGGCCCCCTGCCAACTCCACAAATTTGATGCACAAATGACGTGGAACCCCCGCTCTTTTTTTTCCTAAACGCATGACGTCTTTTGTGATAGCTTCAAACGCCAATGGTGGACTAAATTAGTCAAAGTATTGTGTTTACTACTCGGTCCTACTGTCTAGGCGAGCTCACGTGTGAAGACAAAGCAACAGTTGGGTGGCGACAGATACAAAAACATTGCGTGATAGTTTTACAAGATCGGAGCGTTATAAGGGCTATTTATAGACTTCAGAATTTCAGGATAATTAGTGCAGAAGTTTTATTTGTATGTTCATTCTGCCGAGACCTCCCCCACCTCCCTCCGAAAATACGCACCGGTAGACAAAAACGACACCCCCACCCGCCGCCCCCCCTCCACCTCTCAGTGCTTAGGTAGGCCCTACTCTAGGGATGACCCCATAAACACTTTTCATAATCTCAAATGGAATGAAGCCAAGAACCATAACTTGGTGTCTGATACAATACAAATAATGTATTTTTTAACATTTATAGATATATTATGTAAACAGCTGGGTTTTTTTTTCTTTGTTTGATTGTCTTGCATTTCAACTTGAGATTCTAACTTGTGTTCATTTCTCATCTCATTTCTTGATTTCAGTTATTTTATATTGACAGCTGGGTTCCGTGTCACCTACAAAATGTAACATTTCAGTTCCATAATGTAACACAGTTTTTTTTTTCAGTTGTGGGTCAGATTTCTTTGTCTTGCCAAGACCAAATGTCTGGGATTAAATGAGTTGGAAAGTCTTGTTTGAGTAATTTGTATTGTAATCCCCACAGTGTTGTTACTCAGAGGGCGGTTTACTGTTTCTTACAAATTTTTATCAGAAAGGTTAAATCATGTTAATCCAGTGGTTCTCTACCTACCTAATGCTGCGACCCTTTAATACAGATCCTCTTGTTGTTGCGACCCATAACCACAAAATTATTTTCGTTGCTACTTCACAAAGTTAGAGTAGGACCTATATTTGTTTTCGGATAGACTTAGGCGACCCCTTGGAAAGGTTTGTTCGACCCACAAATGGGTCGCAACCCACAGGTTGAGAACCACTGTGTTAATCAAAGGCCTCACTTAGCAGTGACCGCCCTTCGGCCCATAGTAATTGGGCCTATAAATTATATAATGTTGACTTTTTTCATGACCTGGAAAGAAAATATTTCATCAGGGCAAGGATGAATGATCTAATGAAATATCCAACTGGTTGGCAAACTGATTAGTCAAATGAGCCTAAAATCAACAGCAGGTCGATTTAAAAAAATTTGAGAGCCAAATTTATTTTCAAGAACCATGTTTTTCAGAGTCAAACCGATTTGTAGCCGACTGGCCGAGCCGTACCCTGGTCGTTAAAGAGCCGCATATGGCTAGTGAGCCATGATTTGCTGACCACTGACATACACTATAGGAAAAAAAAAGGCAGACTGTAACAGAAACCACTAGATTGCAAACAGTATCTCTATGTGTTTGTGAATAAAATCAATATACATTTCCATGAAACCTATGCCATTAATGAAAAAAAAGGCAGACTGTAACAGAAACCACTAGATTGCAAACAGTATCTCTATGTGTTTGTGAATAAAATCAATATACATTTCCATGAAACCTATGCCATTAATGAAAAAAAAGGCAGACTGTAACAGAAACCACTAGATTGCAAACAGTATCTCTATGTGTTTGTGAATAAAATCCATATACATTTCCATGAAACCTATGCCATTAATGAAAAAAAAGGCAGACTGTAACAGAAACCACTAGATTGCAAACAGTATCTCTATGTGTTTGTGAATAAAATCCATATACATTTCCATGAAACCTATGCCATTAATGACAAAAAAAGGGACAAAACTAGCTTAAAATTTAGTTCACAAGCCTTTTTTTTTTTTACACCTCCTTTTCCTCCTCCTTCCCCAAAATAATTTTAAAAAGTCTCTCTTCCCCCCCCCTCCCTCCCCAATATTTTAAAAAGTCCTTGAGTTATTTCTCTGTTGATGTTTTCAGTTTCCTTTTTCATATTAGTGGATCGGCATGAGTTACAACTTGACCTTCCTAATCACTGCATATTGAATGGCAGCTGTGTGGTCCAGTTCCCTTGATCATCCTATGACATCTATTTCTATGTGCAGCATTAATCTCTCTCTCTGGGTGTATTCTGAGAGGGTTCAGTGCTGTTGAGTGCGTCTTTATCAAACTGAACTTCTGAACAAACAAATTGTGATATATATTAATTGTATGTGTTGCTTTATTTTGACTGTTACACACAGCTCAATTTAATGGCAAATAAATCTCTGATGGTTCAAAACCCTGGCTCACTGAGGTTTTATTTTGTGTCATGTCACCATGTCAATAATGTTGATTTTTATCTTGTCATTGTCTCACTAATGTTTTATTTGTATCTTGTCACCTTGTCAATAATGAGGATTTTTATCTTGTCATTGTCTCACTAATTTTGATTTTCATCTTGTCATTGTCTCACTAATGTTTTATTTGTATCTTGTCACCATGTCAATAATGAGGATTTTTATCTTGTCATTATCTCACTAATGTTGATTTTCATCTTGTCATTGTCTCACTAATGTTGATTTTTATCTTGTCATGTCTCACTAATGTTGATTTTCATCTTGTCATTGCCTCACTAATGTTGATTTTTATCTTGTCATTGTCTCACTAATGTTGATTTTTATTGTGTCATTGTCTGACTACTATTTTTTTGTATCTTGTCATTGTCTCACTAATGTTGATTTTTATCTTGTCATTGTTTCACTACAGTTTATTTGTGTCTTGTAATTGTCTGACCATTATTTTTTTGTATCTTGTCATTGGTTACTGTTTATTTGAATATTGTCATTGTCTGACTACTTTTGATTTATATTTATTCTGTCATTGTTAACTCAAACAGCTTAACAGCTATCAGCTAATATTGCATTCTACAAAAAAAAAAAAAAAAAAAAAAAAAAAAAAAAAAAAAAAAAAAAAAAAACCTGGATAATTTCTGAAAATCTTTCAATTTAATCTTTGTAAATGTTATTGATTTCTATGAACTACTGGTACCACTATATTTATAGGGACACAAAAGTGAAATGAAATTGTGAGAACTGTCACTCTGTTTGCTGTGAAATATCAGGTGATATGAATTTAGAAAAATGAACTCAATCATATTTGCTCAAGATTGAAAATGAAAAAAAACAACAAACAAATGCAAAAAATTTGTGAACAACGAAATATTAGGACGACACATATCTCAATATAAGGTACTAGAACAAAATAAATCTGAAAAAAAAAATTAGTATGACATTCATCTTAACAATGAGATATTAGGATGACATCATACATCTTAACAATGAGATAATAGGATGATATCATAAATCTTAACAATGTGATATTAGGATGACATCATAAATCTTAACAATGAGATATTTGGATGACATCATTCATCTGAACAATGAGATTTGAGGATGACATACATCTAAAAACAATATACTAGGATGACATCATACATATCAACAATCCACTAGGATGACATCATACATTGCATCTGAACAAGATATTATCCACTCAAAAGTGGGTGGCAGAAACTGGCATTAATATATTAAACAATAAAGTTTCCTCAAGTATCGGTACTTTCCATGGTGGAGTGTTGTAAAGACCAGAGTTTCTTAAACTTTGCAGCGGGACTGCAGGTATTCATCCACTCTGCTGCCTAATTTAATGAAAATTGTTCTATTTGTGGACAGACTACAGAATATTCCTAGACTTGTGTCAGTATGCAGTGGTATGAATGCAAGTACTGGTACACAGACTGCCACTTTGAGAAGCAGTGGTATAAACACCAGTACTGGTACACAGACTACCACTTTGAGAAGCAGTGGTATGAACGCCAGTACTGGTACACAGACTGCCACTTTGAGAAGCAGTGGTATGAACGCCAGTACTGGTACACAGACTACCACTTTGAGAAGCAGTGGTATGAACGCAAGTACTGGTACACAGACTGCCACTTTGAGAAGCAGTGGTATGAACGCCAGTACTGGTACACAGACTACCACTTTGAGAAGCAGTGGTATGAACGCCAGTACTGGTACACAGACTGCCACTTTGAGAAGCAGTGGTATGAACGCCAGTACTGGTACACAGACTACCACCGTGAGAGGCAATGGCATAGACTAGGGGTCGACAAACATGGGCCCACGAGCCACATCTGGCCCGCAACCTCATTTTATCTGTCCTACAAGTCAAGGGGTTTTGAAATCACACAAGAATTAGCATCTCTGCATAGAATGGATGTGACAACATTAGGGGAGAACATTTTCAAAGAGATGGAAAAATAAATTGCTCAGAACCTTTGAGTTGGACAAAGCTCAAAATCTTGGAATTGTGAAATCTATTTACAAAGTAGCCTTATCCGATGAGCACTTGGCTAAGACGTTTGATAAAAAGGAGTGCTAACTAAATTTCAAAATGTTGGAAAAGAAACCAGTTTCATGCTTCTCACTGTTGTGAAAAATATAATTGCAGAATTTAAAAGTTGTTCACCTTAAAATATTTAAGTTGGAATCTCAATGAAATTATTGTAATCCATGTCAGAAAAGCACACATTTCTTTCTTCCTATTCTGTAAAAGTGTTTTACTATGTTATACATTTGTGATCCTATTCTGATCATATCTATAGGTCAACTTGATTTTGGGACAATCTATCTGCCCAGAAAAGCACAAATTTCTCTCTTCCTATTATGTAAAAGTGTATTACTATGTTATACATTAAAATTTGTGATCCTATTCTGATTATAGCATTAGGTCAACTTGATTTTGATTTTGGGACAATCTATCTGCCCCCCCCCCCCCCCCCCCCTTTTCCGGAACTGACAAGATCATCTTAAGAGCCCTGGTAAAATAAGTTTGCAGATCTCTGGTGTAGACAAAACAGATTCTTAAACAACCAGGCTAAAGGAGACTGCGTCCCTCATTGTACTTCCATATTATTATATCATTTCTGTTATTTAATTTCAATAGGCAAGCATTGGAAGAATGCATTGTCTCATTTCAAGCCAATTTGAGTGGTCAACCTTTGGAGGATGTTTTGACTGTGTTTTACAAACAAATATCTGAGGTCAACCTTTGGAGAATTTTTTTACTGTGTTTTATTACCAAAATACCTGAGGTCAATTTTTGGATAATGTTTTGACTGTGTTTTATAACCAAATATCTGAAGTGCAGTCTCCTCCCGGGTATCGAATTTCATGCCCCAATACTGGTCCAAATGGTTCGTCACCAAAATCCACCAAGAACTTGTCATTGAGAGTAAGCCCCCCTTTCTCGGTGTCCACATCAATCTGAAGCATCCAGCCACCTTTCCTGATGGCAATAAAAAGTCCACATTTTATTGGCTGTGTGCATTCACTGAATAATTCTTTACATAACAATTCAGATTAATTTTGACATAAAAACTATATATATTACTATTAGTTACATGATAATTATCCAATGATTTTATTTTTCACTAGTAATTTCTTTAAAATGTAACAAATACTTAGTTTTATTTTGATATCCTGTTATACAGATGATAATTTCTTATCGTTAATACATTTTATATATGGCTTTTATATATACATTTGAAAACTCTATCATTGATTCTCACTTGCACATCTCCGGATAAAACTGTTGGTCCCATGCGGTAAACAGGGAGTTGGTGACGTAGATGCGTTTCCCATCCAAGCTCATCTGCAACATCTGCGGGGCTCCCTCGAGACGTTTTCCATTGATATACACAGGATCTGGTTGTGTCTAACAAGGTAATCAGAAAGAAAATTTTTTTTTTTTTTTGGGGTAAAAATTAAATTTTTTCTAATTCATTTTGCTATGGAAAAAGAAATTCTGTGTATTCAACACTAACGTATACAGTCATTCCTGACCTCAGCAACGGTAGATGGAACCATTCTTTTTCACCAACCGAATATACTGCTTTGACAAAGCCGTTGAAAGAATCTATTGTCCTGATTTGATTGAATGTTTTTCAAGAATGGCCCACCAGAAACAGTTGTGTATGTATTGACATATGAGTTATGAGCAATTTTATCACTTCTCCAGTTTTTGGGCATGTTAAAAAAGGTGACAAATGGGTTCATGCAACAACTGCTCATGGTAAGTTAGATAAATGCTTTTTTTATACACATAACTTTTTTCGTATTTTCATCAAGTCAAGGCTGGTTCCTAAGAGAGGAAACTAAATATCTTCGGTCTGAAATATCTTATACATTGAGGCTCTTCCTATTCACAACAAAGAGTACAATCTTATAATAAAAAGCCTACCGTTCGTTCTACATCTTTGGTAACTTTGACTGGACCGTCCGACTGAATGCTGCCTCCGATGAACACCTGCAGGAAATAAGAAACGGGCGACAAAGTTTTGATCAAACAAAAAAATCATAAAACATCAAATCCAAAGGATTAAAAGAAACAAACTATGGTAATAGACGTGAAAGGACCAATGAAACACAACATCCTCAGCATTTCGAAATAAGAAAGTAAAGCAAATTTTTGGGGGTGGGGGAGAGTAAGCATTCCAAATCTGTTTATTAATAAGATTTCTATGCAAAGAAATTCTAAATCAAACTCTGATTGGGGCGAGATGGCAAAGATGGGGCCCCATTATTATTTATCTAAATAATGTAACAGACCAAGTTGACCATAATTTTTTACACGACCCTAATATTCATTTCTCACGACATGATGGCGTAGTGATTTTATGAACATGATGTGAATCACGAGAAAAAGTGCGAGAACTAGTTTTTACGGAGGATATATAATACACGTTAAGAGAGTAAGAAGGTGTGCACAATTGGTCTATTGAAGAATGCAGACATATTGGTTTACTTTCTCGTATGGATGGATTATTAAATTATTGAGATATGGAATATTGAACGTATGTGTAATTATTGGCTGCATCGTAGAATTGTTACAAGGATATCCTCATGAGAATTGTTATTTATTATATGTAATAAAGTGCTGTGAATTATTCATTGGACGTTACCACTTCAACAGATAAGTTTGGGGAGTGAATGAATTGAATCAATTATTCAAGTTATAGCGGCAGACCATCCTTTATAGTATAGTTAACCATGTTACTACAAGGATTGTCATATCGGCAATATAACATGTGTTACAAATTCCTTTTTTCATACAACATTTACCTGGCCAACAAGTTTGGGGTTCCTCCTATCTGTGATGTCATACTGTCTCATGTCACCATGAAGCCAGTTACTGAAGTACAAATATCTATCATCCAGTGACAGCAATATGTCTGTGATGAGACCTGGTCAAGAAATGACAGATAAAGGCCTTGTCAAGAAATGGCAGATAAAGACCTTGTCAAGAAATGTCCGATAAAGACATTGTCAAGAAATGGCAGATAAAGAAATACATATATAGCATTTTAATGATAAGGCCAACGTTCATCAAGTCAAATCTGTCTCTGATGGGGTAACACAGTTACACAGTTACACAGTAACACAGTTACACAGTTAGCAGCCAAATCAATTAACGAACCTCTTTGGCGTGACAATTTTTAATATAAAATATATATGGACTGTTCGCAGATGAAAATGGATCCATTTCAACTATTAGACATTCAACCTATTAAGTCTAACATGCAAAGATTATATCCTATATTATTTTACTTACAATAGAAACTAAGTCAAATGATGTCCATTGGCATGGTGATAATTTTATTTCAAAAGTTATGTATTGTGCATATTTTACTAAATTAAGTACATTGATTTATTGTGTATGCAATTTTAAATAATATTTTTTGGAAAATCTGTTGAGTAGGTTAACTTGAAACATTCTTTAGATAGATATGTTTTTTTTTTTCTAAGAACGAAAAAAAAAATAATGAATTTGTTTTCAACTGGAATTAGCCCACATTTGAACCTACCTGGCATGTCTGGCAGGGCCCAGCCTTCGACTTTTTTGGGAGGCACTTGAATCACCTTCTCAGCTGCCCAATCACCTTTCTGATTTAAAAAGATGACAATGTCACAAATGACTAAATTACATAAATGTCTTTAGCAACTTACATATTATTCACATAACCAAGTGTAGTGCATAGCTAAGTATAGTGCATGGCCAAACATAGTGTATAGCGACATATAGTCTATAGCCAAATATAATGAATAGCCAAATATAAGGAATAGTCAAGTATTGTGTTTAGCCAAGTATAGTGTATAGTCTAGTGCACTGGTCGGCAAACTAATATTTTTTTGAGAGCCAAATTTCTTTTCAAGAACCTGTCAAGAACCATGTTTTTTGAAGTCCAAACCAATTTGTGGCCGACAGGCCGAGGCGCACTCAGGTCCTTAAAGAGCCACGTTCGGCTCACGAACCGCAATTTTCCTACCACTGGCCCAGTGTATAGAATCACTCCTTGAAATCCACCAATACCTGAGTTTTGTAGAATCTGAAGACAGCTGAACTGAGAGCACATCCAACGTAGCCTTCAGTCGCATCTGGGTTATGCAAGAAGCGCACCTCCAGTGGTATGGCCCCCTCATCCCCCAGGTCTATGGTTTGTATTTTCTTGTGAGTGGTCCAGTCCCAGACATTCAGGCTGTGACCATACAAGCCTGGGATTGGGAGTATTCAAATATTTGCATTGTCAGTCAATTCTGATCCAAAATAAAATGTATTTTTTGTTAATACCAGTATCCACATTGGATTTGGAGTGTTAAAAAATTTAAGAAAATATCAAATTACAATTGTGGTTCGCTTGAAATATGCAGAATTAAAAAAAGCTGTCACGTGGGGCCTGCTACCACTGCGGCCGCAGAGGGTATCTGATAATTAATGGGCCAGAAGTTCTGACGTGGAAAAAAAATTAAAATTCCAACTTTGAATAAAGGGGCTCAAACCCAAAAGTGGCCATGGGCCCCCAAAAGTCACACTCTATGGCTTTTAAATAATTTTTATATCTTACTATTACACTATATGTGACACCATTAGTTTTGCCTTACCAGCAGCATACTCTTCAGGTTTGAACCCATTCCTCCAGGCTCTGGGAGCCCCCCACTCAGTGCTGATCATGACATTGTGGCGGGGCTGGTACCAGTAGTCATAGCCAATGGTGATGTGGCTCTTTTCCCAGTTGTCCTTGAGACTGAAGTCTTGACCATCGAGGAGGATGAACCCACCTGGAGATCAATGGAATAGGACAGTTTGGGACATGGAAGCCGATGGGAGAGACCATTTGACATTGGAATTGATGGGAGAGACCGTGTGATATGGGTGCTGTTTGGATAGACCATATTCCATGGGTTCCAATGGGAGAGACCATATTTCATGGGTGCTGATGGGAAAGAGCATGTGGCATTGGTGCTGATTGCTGATGGAAGAGACCATGTGACATTGGTGTCGTTTGGAGATACCATGTGACATGGGTGCTGATGGGAGAGACCATATTTCGTGGGTGCTATTGGGAGAGACCATATTTCATGGGTTCTGATGGGAGAGACCATGTGATATGGGTGCTGATGGGAGAGACCATATTTCATGGGTTGAGACCATGTGATATGGGTGCTGATGGGAGAGACCATATTTCATGGGTTCTGATGGGATAGACCATGTGATATGGGTGCTGATGGGAGAGACCATATTTCATGGGTTCTGATGGGATAGACCATGTGATATGGGTGCTGATGGGAGAGACCATATTTCATGGGTTCTGATGGGATAGACCATGTTATATGGGTGCTGATGGGAGAGACCATATTTCATGGGTTCTGATGGGATAGACCATGTGATATGGGTGCTGATGGGAGAGACCATATTTCATGGGTTCTGATGG